ACCAGTGGAGCACAATTCCAATAGAATTCTGATTATTGATATATTTCAAGTGTTCTCAAACACACTGCCCTTGTTAAAGCAGAAACGTTGAACACCTACAGATCAATCGAGTTCCTGCGTAGGCAGTCATAAAACAATTCAATAACCACCCTGCCTCTACTTGTCGTCAATAGAACTGATATGTACAAAACGTGAAGTGACATTGATATTCAGATAACATAAGGGCTCTTAACTGCTTGACAGATTGATTGCAATTGATTACAACCAGCTATGAATGTCTCCTATTACATGATTTTGTTAAACGGGTGATAGTCTGATGGATTGGACGTGCATGTGTGTGTGACCCAACCTCTGACCTGACCCCTGACCCCACAGCTGACCACACCAATATTATGTTAATTTTTTAAAGCCCACGAAATATATTAATATTTTCTTATCCCTCATTAAAATAGATCATCAGTTCATAAATAATGCTCAAAGTTACATATCATCCTTCCTTGGTACTATACTGTAGATCCAATCAGCACCGAGTTTAGATGATTAATTATGTTATCGAATAGTAATATGTGCATGTTCAATTGTTTGGCCAAATATGTTTCTAGCTCTACAAAGAACATGCATATGTCAGCTATTGTATCAGTATGTGATGATTATTGTAAGTTATTATTCAATGCACAGTTTAATGATATTTTAATATTATAATATTTTGAATGTATAATAGGCTAGTGGCACCTTTATGGAACAACACACACTTTTACTCAGTCTGTATAGAAAGAGTGAGTGAGTGAGTGAGTATGGTTTTACGCCGCTTTTAGCAATATTCCAGCAATATCACAGCATGGGACACCAGAAATGGGCTTCACACATTACACCCATGCTGGGAATCTAACTCAGGTCTTTGGCGTGATCAGCGAACGCTTTAACCACTAGGCCCTGTATAGGAAAACAGGGTGTTTCATGTCAAGTACAAAACATGTTTTCTAAGGTCTCACGTTGCTTTCCTACGACATTATTAGGGCCAAATAACTCAAGGACCTAGAAAAAATTTCATCGGATAGAGTGTTTAGGACTGGTTGGCTGGTTTCTTGTTTAACACCACCCTCAGCAATATTCCAGCTATATGGCAGCGGTCTGTAAATAATCGAGTCTGGACCAGACAATCCAGTGATCAACATCGTGAGCTTTCATTTATGCAATTGGGACATGATGACATGTGTCAACCAAGTCAGCAAGTCTGACCACCTGATCCCGTTAGTTGCCTGCAAGACAATACCATCCTTGGAATTTGTATTCAATTAACTTATTGCTTCAGAAGCAGGTTTTGGGGAAAAGGGCAATCGAATGTTAGAGGTAGAATTCAAAGAATTATTATCTTTGTTGATAATATTCAAATTGCGTTGTGCACATGGTCCCAAGTCAATACGTAGCTAGTCTGTCTCACAGTCCCTGAACCATATTATTTTCCATACAGCCTAGCCCTCCCTGCAGTGTTAAAGCTCTAAACGAAGCAAGTCTAGATTTCTCCAGGTATCTCTGATCTTCCTGGGGCTTCTTTTCAATTTAAAGGGGTTTATTTGTTACAATCAAAATTATATATTCAGAGACTAAGCGTTAGTCTAATACATAGCCTGTATCATTACAATCCCAGACACAGTGTACCAGAACATTATTCGGTTTATCATTTCACCCTACAACATTTTATGGTCTAAATGGAGCTTTATACTAAACCCTTGTGGCTAATCCCGGGGATGTCGATATCAGTCAGGCCCACCAAAAGAATGCATGGTCACTTAAGATGAGTTTTATCAGAACTGTCATTGTAAATCATGATCGACAGTGTTTATGACAAAATTGTCAATAAACGTCTCCAAGCTAATAACATCAACTGACATGTTTAAGCTACCTGGCAGGACAAAATTTCTGTCCTCGATCGATCTAGGTTTGTTTTGTTCCATGAATTCATTGTAGCCTAAGGTTACGTCAATAGTATGCACATGGTAATATCTGATTAAGAGGTGACTTACGGCTTTGGGTGGTCAGGCTGGCTGACTTGGTTGACACATGTCATCGTATCACAATTATGTAGATCGATGCTCATGATGTCAATCACTGGATTGTTTGGTCCAGACTCAAGTATTTACAAACAGCCTCATATAGCTGGAATATTGCTGCATTAAACAACAAACAAACAACCACGTGGATGCATCTGAAGTAAACATTTTTTAACCATTATACAGTTTGATTTTGATAAATTTTGAGGGCATTTTGAATTTATACGGCCCTTCCATGGAAAAAGAGAATATCGTTTTAATTTTAAAATTTTATCAACCATTTCATTGATTATGATCAAAGGTTATTGAATTGTACCAGTGGCAGAGCTTTATTCAGATTATTACGAATACTTAAGGATTAGTTGACGGTGATATTGACATATATTGGAATCAATCTATTTCTGGTTACTGTCCTACCTTAGTAATAAAAAACACTGAATATATTGTGGTATGGATTTTCAACCTTCACTTGCAATTTAGTAGCCCTTTCTAAGTCCATTGTATTGATTTTCTGGTAAATATTATCCCAATGATATTTTATGATTTCATCAACTTTTGATGTGGCATTTTTATATATCCTAATTTAAACCCTACTGGATAAAAATCTTAGTCTTAGTGGTAGGAAATTGATCAGTGAAGCCTGTTGTGACGCAAGAGTGACAGGTTCATAAGCCAATGAAATCTGGTTCATTACTGTTGAAGCACATGCGTGTGTCACTGACAATGGTACCTCGTCAGGGCTGTTTTGAGGTGTGTGGAATTGTTACTGCTTGTTGAGTAATTGTGAGTGAATGAATGAGTGAATTTAGTTTTACACCACACTCAGCAATATTCCAGCTATATGGCGGCGGTCTGCAAATAATTAAGTCTGGACAAGACAATCCAGTGATCAACATCATGAGCATCAATCGAGGCAATTGGGACATGATGACATGTGTCAACCAAGTCAGCAAGCCTGACCACCCGATCCCATTAGTCGCCTCTCACAACAAGCTGAAGATCAATTCTAGCCCGGATCTTCACGGGTCGGGGCCTTTTGTGTGGATGAGGTACTAATGTGTATCTGTTAGTGCTGGAGTAATTGATTGAATAATCGGTGAAACATCAAATTAAACTTTAAAAAGCATATTTCTCATTGGTATGTTTGTTAAATCAAGAAATACACAACTGATGCAGTTTCCTGACTTGTAAATCTCCAATGTAAACAACATATTTGTGTAACGCGTCTCAACAGGAAGTATCCGTGATCATCTTGATCGTTGTGTACATTGTGCCTGTTTCATGTGCACAATGTTACAACTGTGTCCTGTTGTTGCCCGAAGACATGAGTTTTGTGTGAAGCCCGGTGTTTATGATTACAATCGATAATTGATCAATGACTAAGGTCCGATTATCGATCTGACAATAACCAACATTAGTACCTCATGAAATGAAACTATTTCCTGCAATGAAGCTTACTGAATCAGCTGAGGATGTGTTGTCGAAAGATCAAGAAAGTTGGCATATGTAATGAGTGTTGAATTGGGATTACACTTTCTAATTAAAAAAAGATTATTGTTCTTTTTGGGTTGAGTTCCATCCGGAAATCAAGCCCAAACCTTCATAATAATTCACCAAAACCTGCAAATAAGAGAATTGTTCAATTTTAAAGGTTACATTTCCCCTAATCCCCAAGTTTCCTATTTCCCAAATGATGAGGATAAGTTGGTAATAATTTATAAAACCTAAAACCAAATTGACACATGCCCTCAAATGGACATTCCAGGGTGCTGTTGTACAAATCGATATTGGCGTTAAGGTGATTGTAACTCCCATAAGGTGCGTTCTATTGGTGTGACTTATAGTAGCAACTTGTAGCATACGATTTGTAGTAACAACACAGAGCGTAACGACTTTGTTATTTGTGTACTTTTTAAGTTGTATACAAATCGTATCTCGCAAGATTCTCACGCATGACTCGGCAACATGGATTCGTCAATTGAAGAAGAAACGCTAACATTAATGTCAGTCTACATATCACAGTCACTGAAAAAGAAAAAGAGAAAGCCTAAATTGGTGTGGAACATTCCATAAACGTCCCTGAGACAAGTAAAAACCTATAAACCACTGTTTCTTCTCTGGTAAGGTCGATTTTTTTTTTCAGTCATGTCACTGACATGATGTCAACATAAACAAAAGGGACATCACTCTGAGGTGGACAAAGATCTAAGCGATTGGTCAAGAGTTTGCGACATGTAGTAGGAATTCCTATGTCTTACAACTCAGCTGCGACTAGTTGTATGCGATTTCAAATCATGCTACAAGTTGTTACTACCGGAGCGCACCAACATAGACTTAGCGCTAAAGTCATTTGGAACAAAGGCACCAAATTAGTTGGTTCCCAGCAACTTTGGCTGATTGTAAGTAACAACTGAATGGATTGGATGGTCAGGAACACTGACTTTGTTGATTGAATGTCATAGTATCTTGATGGCATAGGTTGCTGCTCACAACATCGATCACTGGATTGTTAAACAACAATATCTCTAACATCACACACACATTATGACACACAGACAGACACCACACACACACTGTTGCTATTTGTGCAATGGCGTTGCAATTAATATTTGTTTCTTTGTTTGTTTGTTGTTTAATGCTGTACTCAGCAACATTCCAGCTATATGGCGGCAGTCTGTAAATAATCCAGTCTGGACCAGACAATCTAATGATCAACAGCATGAGCATCAATCTACGTAATTGCAATACGATGACATGTGTCAGCTAAGTCAGCGAGCCTGACCACCAGATCCCGTTAGTCACCTTTTACGACAAGCATGGGTTGCTAAAGTCCAATCCTAACCCAGATATTCACGAGTTACGATTCTAACCAATTCTTTATCTGATAAGTTCCGCATAAAAGTCTGAGAATCTACTATATATGTGACATGTCATCTGTTTTTGTTGCAGTGGCAGGCTCTGTGAGATCTCCAGGCAATAAGCGGGGCTACCATGAAGACTATTTGTCAGCTCTGACAGAAACACCCTCGGACGCAAGATGTGAGTAGCTGTTAATGAGTCATAAATAGCTGATTTGATTTCAGTACATTTTGGGGTTTATGGAGGTATGAATAAACAAACCTTATGGCCATTGCCTTTGTAAATCACCATAAGTCATAAAATATATCAAAGTGTTATTAAACAATTTTGGTGTTGAATCTGGTTTAAAGAATTAGGCATATTATATGATGATATTGAATGAAGTAAATTTGGTCCTGTGTTAACAGATGAGGGTTATTCAGTCTGTTTTGGTTCTTTTAGTGTGATTCCACAGTAATTTATTGTTACATGGTAAAACATCCACCTGAAGAAGGGGCAAGGACAAGCCCTGAAATGTTGTGTATACAAAAAAGAAGTTGATATCCATAATATTTTGTCATTTCCTTCAACACCAACATCTATATGCTTTTCAAGAACCTCATGGTGAAACATAGCTTTAAATGTTGATGAATTTAACTTTTGTTCATTATCAGTTAATGTAAATAATATTTACCAGCTTTTGCATATTGTTTAAATTATCGGGTATTTAAATTTTTTAAATTCAAATTCATTCTAAAGTCATTTTGCTTTAGAAATTCACTAAATTAGACATTATTGTCGATAGTGTAGGTATAGGTAGTTTTTTTCATGTGTTGACAAACATCATTTCTTACAGAATATTTGCCTTTGTTTTCAACAAGTTCTACTCACAATATTTCAGATAGCTCAATGAGTAAGTCCCTTGATGCTACTGATTCAATTAACCTCTCTCTTTGTATTAACATTTCAACAAATATATTCATTCAGCCATTTTGCGTTATTGTGTTCATTCAATAATTATCCATAACTGTTGATTGAAAATTATATGAATATTCTGCCTATGAATATATAAATACTAATTATTTTGTTTGACCTGTATATTTTATGCATGAAACATGTTTATCATTGCTACATTTTATTCAATTTCTGTTTGTCTGAAAATCAGATAACTGTGCAAAACACAATTTATTATTGAAATTATGTGCTTACTGAAAGGGAAATAACTCCCATTCTAAAATGTTTTTTAAAGATAAATTGCATTCCAGGCTTTAGATTATACGTAGCAGTTATTGCCTTCTTCTTTGAGTATAAGCAACATTTTCTGTTTCTTAAGTTTGAAGATCAGTCAACAATACAAAAAACAAAATAAATTACTATTGGATTTGGGAATAGAGTTCTTGTTCAAAGGGACATAACTCACAGTGCTTTTTAAGATAAATTGCTTTCCAGGCTTTAAATTATAGGTAGCAGATATTGTTTTCTATGAGCAACATGTAGTTGGAGTATTAAGTAAAGATAAGATACATGGATGAACAATGTCACCTGTAATAGTAATAAAGCAATTGTTAGTTCATGTATGTCATCACCCGTGAAGGTCCGGGTTAGAATATTGATCTTCAGTAACCCATGCTTGTCGTAACAGGCGACTAACGGGATCGGGTGGTCAGGGTCGCTGACTTGGTTGACACATGTCATCGGTTCCCAATTGCGCAGGTCAATGCTCATGTTGTTGATCACTGGATTGTCTGGTCTAGACTCGATAATTTACAGACCGCCGCCACATAGCTGGAATATTGCTTAGTGCGGCGTAAAACTAAATTCACTCACTCACTCATGTATGTTATCCTTACCTTAAAATTGTAGTTGTGGAGACGAACAAATATTTTTTCTTTGTCATTTTAGCTGTTTTAACACATAGTTGATTTCTTGACAGTTATAATCAGACTGAACATGAGTAGCACAAAAATGTTTTTTTTTGAAGTGTAGGTATATTCATGCAATGTATTTTGTTTATTTATGAATCAAATGTATATTTATTTATTGCTTGAATATTTTCTGCAATAGTTAAGTGTATTAAATCCATATAAGGTAATCCTGAGGAGGAAGTAGAACAAGAAGATCACAGTGATAACCTCAGTTGTTGTATGTAAACAGTATACTATTTACCTGCAACTAATCTGGAATACAATTTTCACTTGAGGGACTGTCAGAGTAATTTCTTTCCATACTAAATGCTCTACAAAGGCCAGCATTTTTGTTTATTTCTTGATTTTCATATATGTCTGGCAATGACATGATTACAATGAATTAAACAATGAGATTTAAAAAGAAATGTTTTCACTGCTGAATAATTATTATATTTTGTATTTTCCCTAAAACATTTCTGACATTATATTCTTGATCAATTCCAAATATATTCATTACCCGATGTTAGAAATAAGATGTTCAGGAATACTTCTTGGCAAAACATATTTATCAGGAGTCATGGTAAATCAAGATGAAGACAAAAGATGGCCTAAACTAAAAATGAGCTTCCAGCTCCATGGACAACTTAGAACAGATCTCAAATCCAGGGTTATTGATGGTGATTATGATACTGATGGACCTGGTAACTCTTCATGTTGACTATAAACTTTGGTATCAGTTGAAGGGTGGCAGTGGTGGTTGTGTCAGATGAATTTATTCCAGAATGGTGAAGAAAGATTTAACATTTCTCGGTTTTCACAACTAATGTGACAAGAATAATACTTGGAGAACAACTGGTTTTGGTTTGTACAGGATGAATTTAACCATATCTTTACATAAATATTGAGATAATTTTACACATGCATTCATGTTAATTATGATTTTTGTATAGAAGATGAAGTATACTTAATTATGTGGTGAAATACATATCAGGTTCTTAAGTGGAATCAAGTCTGAATTTAATTTCAAAACCCTGTCAGCCATTTTATATACTTGAGGTGTGTTTTGAAAATTTCATGTTAAATGGTGTGGTAAAATGTGACTGCATCACATGTTTCAAGGTAAGATTACTTTGAAATAAGTCAGTGATGGCTATTTTTCTCACTTATGCATAAGTATTTGCAATTTCATAGATCTAGTGAATACCTGATCACATTGTTATACATAGTGTTCAAGTTAATAGAATTACAACCTAACACATATGAAACATATATGTAACATTGATTACAACACCATAGTTTTCATGATACGATATGAGTTATTTGTTGGCATAGTGTTAAATGGGATCACAGTAAAAGCAGTTTGTCAGTGACACTATAAGCGTGTCATTTTCTTAATAGACACTATTTTTTCACTAATTATTAAGTATGCATGTGTAAGAGATTTTTACATTTGTCCAAGAGATTATGTATCTGTTTGTACAGTATACCGGTACTAATTTTACGAAAGCCAGAATTCATGTGAACTCAAAATACAAATTCTGACAATTGTTTTGTGAACTCTACATGGCACACCACACATGGCTATGATGACTACGCATACATTGAAGGTGTGTCTGTATTTGTGTTTCAGCTACCATGGGGAACCCCAGCTATTACATGTGTACAATACAGTTCCAGCTGTCTTCAAAACAATGTGAAGAAAAAGGTAAGCTGTGTATTGCATATTACATAAATGTCTTGTTTCTTAAGACTGGGGCGGTGGTGTAGCCTAGTGGTTAAGGCTTTCGCTCGTCACACAGAAGATCCGGGTTCGATTCCCCACATGGGTACAATGTGTGAAGCCCATTTCTGGTGTCCCTCGCCATGATATTGCTGGAATATTGCTAATTAGTGCCGTAAAACCCAACTCACTCACTTATTAAGACTAACACACCACTAGTTTTTGTTACATTATGCATTTTTAAGAAAAAATTGAAATTTGTCTTAAAAGTGGATATCTTCTGCAACTCTGATCTATTATCTGGGGCAGTGGGGTAGCCCAGTGGTTAAAGTGTTCGCTTGTCACACCAAAGACCCAGGTTCTATTCCCCACATGGGTACAATGTGTGAAGCCCATTTCTGGTGTCGCCTGCCGTGATATTGTTGGAATATTTCTAAAAGTGGCGAAAACCATACTCACTCACTATTTATAAATTATTTACCTATCTTATATATAAGATGAACAAACATACTTCATATTATACAGTGATACTGTTTTTCATCAAGTCACATGATGTGGTCATATGACTTGATCTAACATGTCTTACAGTCGAAATGTGTATGACGATCTACAGTTATAACAAACTGTACTATCATTGAACTGGATTGATTGAACAGATTTGAACAGATACAGTGTTCATGAATGGTGTTGCAAAGTAACAGGACATTGGGTCCTGTAAGTTTCAGATGTCTGTCTGACCCATTGAAAATTCACAGGACCCAAAGAATAAAATTAAACACACATTTCAGATTTAACATTTCTTATAATTGGCATTGAAATTATTAACAAACATAAGATTTATAAACAACAAACAAGTGACACATGTCACATATAACAACTTCAGTCAAAGTCATTGTGAAATATACAGTCAGACACTGGGGCCGGCGGGTTGTAGACTTCTATCCGACCTTTGGCGAATCTGACGGATGTCAGAGGGTCAGACGCTATTCGTGAACACTGCAGATATAATCAATATACCACTTCCTTGTTGTAAATAGCATCGTTGAACCTGACTGACTGCGGCCGTGATGTTTAAGGATGGCTTGGTTTGTTGTTTAACGCCACACTCAGCATTTTTTCAGCATTATAATGACTTTCTGTAAATAATCAACAACCCAGTGATCACAGCATGAGCATAGATCTACACAATAAGATGCATGTGTCTTCCAAGTCAGCAAGTCTGACCACCCAATCCCCTTAGTCACATATCTTACGACAAGCACGGGTTGTTGAAAAAACAATTCTAACCCACATCTTCACAGGTGTTTCATTGTAAATAGCATTGTTAATTCTGACTGACGGCCACCATGATGTTTCAGGGTGGATCGTGCAGAAGGGGAGGGAGGACGAGATAGCGAGGGAGACGCTGTTGGAATGGTGTGTTCAGATCCTACAGCACTGCATGAAGATCACGTGAGTACATCGTACTGGTTTTACAATAACACTGTACTCATCAGCAGTGATACTCAGGGACAGAAAGGTCATCAGTAAGATGTATAAGGACTACTCTCGGTATTTGTTAATACATGTATTGATACTTCAATTCTTTGTTGTCATCTTGGTCTCAAAGAGGTGTGCTGGCCTTGGTCACATACTGAAGCACAATTGCATGTGTGATGTCCTCTTGGGGAAATGACTTTGTTTGAAATGTGCCCCTGTCCACCCAGCAATTAACGGGTACCCGGTAGGGTGAGATAGTAATGTGACAGTTAACTTTCTAGTGCCTTATAGGCAGCTAGGTTATATACGCTTGTGCACTGTTCCTTAAACCAGGATAATAATATACTGCAGGGATATAAACATCCATTGACATGTGGCATTAATAGTTTCAAGCGAACTCTTCTTCTTCTTCTTCTTCTTCTTCTTCTTCTTCTTCTTCTTCTTCTTCTTCTTCTTCTTAGCAGACCAAATGCTTTCTGTACTGCACCATGATTTGTTTGGATGGGCCTTAATTAATTCTGGCAGATGGATCCCATCATTTCATCTGAAAATATTTTCAATTACATTGTATGACAAATTTGCTCCCTCAAATTCAGTCTGATCATATATTTGTGTTTAATGTGATACCATAACAGTGTACCTAAATGTGGCTTTATGTTGGTACCTCTAACAAAACGGAGTGCGGAAGGTCGCGGGTTCGATCCCCGACCGCGTCATACCAAAAGACGTTAAAATATGGTACTTGTTGGTCCCTGCCTGGTGCTCAGCATTAATGGGTACAATAAGGACTGGTCGGCTCGAGGAGTCAGTATAATGTGTCTGAGTGGGGTATTCATGCTTCACTGCGGCATGGTATCTCATGCACGTCATCATGTAAGCGAAATATTCTCAAGCACGACGTTAAACCCAATTCCACCACCACCACCCCACTACCACCACTACCTCTAACAAAGCACTGTCTTCTTTTCACAGTCGAGACCAGTATGCACAAGAAATAGAACTTGGTTTAGACAAACCTGCTCAAGTTCGTTACTATGGTGACACTAGGAAAGAAACTTTGTTAAAATACCGAAAATCGCCAGTAAAGCCTTCAATCAACCCTGCAGTCAGAGGCCAGAAGCCACGGATACCTCACATGTACGACGACCGCAACGAGGGGAAACAACTCATGCTGACTTCACATATGGATGGCACAACAGTAGCATAGTATCCTTGTTTGGGGAAACTTTCAGATTTATTCAAGATAGTTTGTCAGTTTGGATCATCCTGTCATTTTATTTGTCTGGACGTTTAGTGTACATCTGTAGTTGTTATTTGGGGAAATTGGCTAAATAGTTGTCAGATTTTAGTTTTAATTTGTACAGAGTTGAATTTGAGTGACAAATAATGTACCTCTGTGTTTGTATCAGAACTTAAAGGGTTGGGAAAACAAGACCTATCTGCTCAAACTAGATTTATTGAAACTGGAGCTAGAATTCTTGAAAGATGACCTTCCATGATAAATGTCATGCAACTCAAAGCAAGCCAGGAACAAACATGGGAAGGCTTACAAACATGTCAAATTTACTGTACATTTCATAGGGTAAAAATTATCTCAGAGCAGGAGCAGGAATATCCCTGTGCACTCAAAATAGTCACACTTAGTGTCACGTCAACAGGGAAAGGTTATATTCAGGATTGATTCACTGAAACATGTTATGTATCCATAAAAAAATAGGAACTTAAGAATCAATAGATGTATTATTCTGTTAGAGTGTGTGATTGTCAAAACAATAAAAACTTCTAATCCAGCCTTTGCATAATAGAACAAAATGCCTTCATTAAATACTGTATTTTAGGTCGATGCTCATGGTGTCAATCACTGGATTGTCTGCCAATACTGAATTATTTACAGACCACAATCATTTAGCTGGAATATCACTGAGCATGGAGTTAAACATTAAAAAAACATACAGAAGTTTCAAGGTCATTCTGGTCAGTGCAGATACAAGCAATACACTTCCTTGACCGTTGTCCAGCTACCCATCTGGCCGTCCAGCAGTGGTGAGCAGCGGGGCAGGGTATGGCCGGCCAGGGTACTACACTATAGCGTACACAGACGACCTTGACATGAAGATGCTGGCCTGCTTCACACCGGCTGGGAAAGGGTGCTGTTATCATCCCAATGGTGTGGTCAAGTGAGTCAACCTTGACCATCATTCTTGTATTTATTACCAATAGGTTTAGAAAAAATAAGCTCATTAAAATAATATGTGCATAAGTGCAAATATAAGGCATACAATATGGTATTATTGGAATCATTCTAATCTTGCTGGCAAGATAACGTCCAAAAAGTTGATTATTTTTGCATGTGGGGCTGGTTCGATGCTGTTGGTTAGTAAAACCAGTATTACCATCATGTCTGTATTAAAATCTTCTCATCAATCGTCGTGGAGGTTGTGTAGCCTGGTGGTTCACTCGTCATGCCAAAGACCCGGGTTCAATTCCGCAAATGGGTACAATGTGTGAAGCCAATTTCTGCAGGTTCAAATGAATGTAGGTCTGAGTATGTTTCTAGGGTTTTCAGCACTATTCCTGTCTTCATGGGTTTCACCAAAGTGATTATCATCTGAGACCTGCATCTCGCCATTCTTTCCCACCTCATGCTAACACTGTGCCTTATAATTAGAATACTGTTCAGAGCGGCACAAAACCCACTCACTCACTCTGTGTCTCACTGTGTGCTGCAGGTTTCTAGCAACAGAGAAGGGAGGTCACCTGGCAGAAGACGACGGAACGGTCAACCAAAAATGGAAGTGGCCACTTGGAAATGTGAAAATAACATCCCCAGTTGGTTTCCAGGTGAGATATCTCAGAGCAAATTCAACAGCCATTTATTATATTGTCTATTTGTGTAAGGACTTGGGTTGGGTTGTTGGTTAACGCCACACACAGCAATATTCCAGCCATATGGTGGCTTGAAGGACTTGTAGAAGTATAGATGATTCAATGGATCATCTAAATGTATTTATCACGCTTATATAAACTGGCATACCTGCACGTTCTTGGCTACTTGTAGCTGTAGTAATCATAGTGTTCGCCTACTGAGATACCAGTTTAACATTGTTTTTGATTGATTGAATTCAGTTTAATGCTGTACTCAGCAATATTCCAGCTATATGGCGGCTGCCTGTAAATAATCGAGTCTGGACTAGACAATCCAGTGATCAACAGCATGAGCATCGATCTACGCAATTGGGATACAATGACATGTGTCTACCAAGTCAGTGAGCTTGACCACCCAATCCTGTTAGTCGCCTCTCATGACAATAATAGGTTACTGAAGACTAAATCTAACCCAGATCTTTACGGGTCAGTTCAACATGGATATCCAGCTTAAGAGGCAATATACCGACTCTAAGACTGCCATGATCCACTTGCAGTGTTGACCGCCTCCGTGGTGTAGTGGTTAGGGCCTCCGCCCGGAGAGCGGAATGTCGCGGGTTCGATCCCCGGTCGCGTCATACCAAAAGACGTTAAAATATGGTACTTGTTGGTCCCTGCCTGGTGCTCGTCATTAATGGGTACAACAAAGACTGGTCGGCTCGAAGTCAGTATAATGTGTCTGAGTGGGGTATTCATGCTTCACTGCGGCATGGTATCTCAGTGGGCTAGCACTATAAAACCAGCTTCAGTCTGAGCTAGTACAAGCAGCTGCACATACACATACACACGCATGCACGTCGTCATATGAGCGAAATATTCTCCAGCACGACGTTAAACCCAATTTCACCTCACCTCACCTCACTTCCAGTGTTAGAGTATCGAAGATCCCTTTGTGCAAGTGGGCACAGCATTTGTTTTTCATATCTTCTAAAGGGTGAGCACAAGGCAGAAGAGAGTGAGTGAGTATGATTTTACAACTCTAGCAATATTCCAGCAATATCATGCCAGGTGACACCAGAAATGGGCTTCACATATTGTACCCATGTGGGGAATTGAACCAGGGTCTTCAGCGTGACGAGTGGACGCTCATCAGGCTACCTCACCGAACCAGGCAGATTAGAACTGAATTACAGTAATCCATGCAAGTCTCTGACTAAATGGAACCTTTGGTCAGGCTCATACATTCCACATACATGATTTGTCTGGCCAAGACATAATCATATACAGGTGCTGTGACAGAAATCATCATCATCATCCTTTTCGATGACCTGCATTGTTGTTAATGTGTTTGTGGCCATGTTCCAGATAAACAGTTTCCTGACTTTCCGCTGCGTGAGCCAGAGCTCCATGGTGCTACACTTCAACTGTATGAAGGAGAGTGCTAAGTTCCCCGTGGGGCCAGTGCCCGGAGCTGTCGAGCCGCGACAAGGAGACGAAAATGTGAGCAAATTAAACCTGTCGGTTTCATAAAATGTTTAGAATTTGTTTGTACTGGAAATAAAAAAGAATCATGAGCAAATATTCCAGTTCTCATCTTCTTATCAATAGTGATGGATATATAGTCATCATCGTCATCGTCATCATCATCATCATCATACTTGTCAATGAACAGATCTGATCCCCCATTCTTTTGTCACTTCTTCCTCCTCTCCCTCTCCTTCCTTTTCTTCTTCCTCTTCCTCTTCTTCCCCATCTCCTTGCTCATTCTCTTCCTCCTCTTCTTCCCCATCCTCTCTCTCCCCTCTTCTTCCTCTTCCTCCCCTCTTCTTCTTCCTCCTCTTCTTCATCCCCTTCCTCTTCCACTATTCTTCATCCTCCTCATTTTCTTCTCTTCTTCCTTCATTTTCCTTCTTTTCTCTTCCTCCTCTTTCCTGCCTCCTCTTTTCTTCCTTCCTCCTATTCCTTATTCCTCTTCCTCCTTTTTAACTCCTCCTTTTCTTCATCTTCCTCCTTTCTTCCTCCTCATCTTCCTAGTCAGTGACTTTTGTTCTTCCTCTTAATATCATCTTGCTGACATTGTATAGTACATTGCTCACACTGTCAACCTCTGGTTTTCACACCCAATTAGACTATTAAAAACTGCAGTGATACAGCTGAAATACTGTTGTCAGACAGCAGCATAAAGGAACATTCTTCATCCTCTCCATCCAAAATCGCCATGTCAAGGATGCATATAGTTTCTTAAATTGTACAATGATTTGCACTGTAAATGTTTCTGTTTTCACTGCTAATCTGTGTATGTGTTGCCGCGAGCCACTCCTGTAGATGTTTAATGTTCGCAATGTATGATGTTTCAGGAACAGCTACTAACAACTTTCACCTTCTCATCACGAGCTGCCAAAGAACTACTCAGGCTTTTTGCACCAAAGACTAAAACAAAATCAAAATCAAAGAAAAAGGTGACACTAACAGTTTTATTTGCATATTAGGAACACAAAACTAAACCAGTCAATTTTCACCACTTCACAATTTTATCTAACTTTTACAAATTAATACTGTACACATAGTATTAGACCTAGAGATCAGCTGAACCAGATCAAGGTATTTCCACAGGTGCACAATTGAAGTCCCAGGTTCTCTATAATATTACTTGTTTCCTGAGTAAGTTAAAATTATAATGTGACTGTCAAATTGGCAATATCTTGACCACATTGCTACTTGTTTAGTTTATAAGTGGGAGAAGACGTTTCAAATATAAGGGACATGACCAGCACATGTATTGGCTAAAAATAGAATAATTGCCAAAGATTATGAAATTATTCGGGGGTTTAACATATTGTAAAGCTTTCACAGTGCAATCTAACCTGTGAAAAAGGGCACAATTTTATTCTTACAGAGTAATCATTTTATCACTATGGAAACCATGATGAAATGTGTCTGCACATAAATTATTTGGTGTCATTTAAGTAGGTCATATGGGTAAAATACATTGTGCTAAAATATCTGAAGATATAGATTGATGTGTATGTAGACTAGGGACAGATGTGTCTTCAGAAGTGAGTATGTTAGAAATTTAGATCACGTCAGCAATATTTCATCCACATCGTGACAAGTGGTCTTTCGAAACCTATGTAAAAAACAGAATCAGTTATTTTCCCTAATCTTACAGGAACATTGCTGAGGGCAGAGTTAAACAAAAACCTTCACTTCATGAAATGGAATGTTAACTATTAACATTCCGTCAATTGTTTGGTATTGTCTTGGTTAAATTCTGGTGACTGATATAAGTCAATACCGCTATTGTCTACTGTTCAATGCTTCATGCTGCAAAATACTGGCCACCTGACATCCCGATCCCTTTAGTCGCCTATTACAACAAGCATGGGTTGCTGAAAACCAAGTCTAACGCAGATTTTTGTGGATTGCGATAAGATAAACAGACAAAAATGGAAAAGACACACTGTACTGCACATAATTTTAAGAAAATTTTCTCAGCACAGTTTGCTCTTCTGGTTTGAAACACATTATCTCTATGCCATTGTTAAGTCAAACATTTGATGTCTTTGTGATAAAACCAATGACTTGTGTGTCACATGAAGAACCTTGCACATTGACACTGTTTTGTTATTTTATCAGTTTTATAATATCTGTTAATTCTGCTGTATCAAGAGTTGTTTGTGGGTGTTGAGTTGATGAGGATGTTGTCGGCTCCAGGATAAGTACAAGGGTCAGCTTGCGGAACTCCAGAAGATGATGGACGAGCAGGACCGGATCATGTATGATACGGAGGCTGACAAGGAGCTTGCCCGGCTCCAGAGGAAGGCAAGGTGAGGTGGACAGCAGCATACAGACAGAGGGATGGGGATTTCAAGGAAGGATGTTTGTTTGTTTGTTTGTTTGTTTGTTTGTTTGTTCCAACTTCCATTAAGGATTTTACAGTTGATAAATTAATAGATCAATGGCATTGATTGATTGATTTTTAACACTACATTCAGCAATATACCAGCTATATGGCATCTGTCTGTAAATAAACGAGTCTGGACCAGACAATCCAGTGATGAAAAGCATCAATCTACACAGCTGGGTTACGATGACATGTGTCAACCAAGTGTGACCACCCCATCCAATTAGTTACCTCTTACAAGCATGGGTCGCTGAAGACCAATTTTAACTTGGATCTTCACAGGTTTTTCAAGGAAGGAATTTTGAGTTACAATTTGAATAATCTTCTCTTCTATTTTTTTCTAATTTAAATCTTAATCAAAGTAGTGGATGGTATTGATTATCAAGGGCAGACAACTCTTTCAAGGTAGACAACTCCTGAAAATGATTGTTGGAATTTTCTTGCACGTGAAGGGAATATTTATTAGTAAAATCAGTGGAAAAAATATCTTCAAAATGATTCACTTCTTAAGTGTTTAATTTTGTTTTGCTTTGTTACCAGTTGCCATATTTTTTGTACATCTAGTCACATTTAAGTTCGCATATTGTTTGAATCACATGCATTTTAATTTAAGCATGAATCACATCACAATCTCCGAAGAATTATCTTTCACATATTTTGCACATTCTATATTTTGAACTCACAGAAACTTAGTAGATGATTGGTTGGAGCACTACCGTCTGGCACTGGAGATGTGCACGCCCACACTGAACTCTCTGCAAGACATGCCATCTGTACGGCGTCGCTATGCTCAGTCGGCTCGACTGGCCACAGACGCTGTAGGCATCATCAGGAGTGTGTCAGTGTCAATGTCCAGATCGCCGGACACTAGTAACGTATTCCGGACACTAAGAGCACCGTCAGCTCCTGCAGGTAATGGAAGTCTATGACTGTTTGGTTTGATTGTTATTTAATGCCAAACTCAGCAATATTCCAGCTATATGGCGGCGGTCTGTAGATAATCGAGTCTGGACCAGACAGTCCAGTGATCAACAGCATGAGCATAAAACTACGCAATTGGGATACGATAACATGCGTCATCCAAGTCAACAAGCATGCCCACCCGATCCCGTTAGTTGCCTCTTATGACAAGTATGGGTTACTAAAGACCAATTATAACCCGGACCTTCATGGGTGACTGATTGTCTTGAGGGTTTAGATAAGTAGCGTACCAAAAATCAAAACACTCAATACATTTAAGTTGTCAAAAAGGAAGTTTAATGTAAACTGACAATAAAATAATTCTTAGTGAAAAATAGATTAAACAAAAATGTAAAGAAATAGATAAGATTCTATGCCAGCACTTCTTACGGTTTTGAAAATATCTTGGTTTAAATATCTATCAAATATTGAAGTGAGAGACAGATGATGACTTTGACGGAAGCAGTCAGACAGCCCATAACTGTCTTTTGAAATTCCCTGAGACTGCATTATAAGATAACACATTCCGGCTGTCACAACGAACATGCTGATTGGTCAGATGAAAGGTCAGTCTGACATGACCGGTATTGGGATGCCCTCAAATTTTGGTTTACTGGTGAATTAAAATGAAACCTGATTTCCCTAAGACAAGCTTAAGATGATATGTTAGTTTGTTGTTTACAGCTGAGTCAGCTATATGAGTGCAGCACAACATCTGCCTCGAAATGACAGATCTTTGCCAGATTGCTGTGTAGCTGAGACTGACCACCCAATGTCAGTCTGCTCCCTAGTCTTATGATGATAATATAATAACAATATATTATTTCAGGGAATCAGAAGAGAGAGTCATCAGCGGTCGAGAGTCGTCAGTCATCACCTAATCGGTTATCAACTGTGAAGTTTGAGGAGAAGTCTGAGATGTACACGTATGGACAGGGAGATGGAGGAACAGTGTCTCCTACAGCTGTAGCTGTCATGAGAAGACTGTCAGAGTTAGTAAACATTGATGTCAGAGTTAGTAAACATTGAAGTCAGAGTTAGTAAACATTGAAGTCAGAGTTAGTGAAGTCAGAGTTAGGCAATATTGAAGTCAGAGTTAGTAATCACTGAAGTCAGAGTTAGTCAATATTGAAGTCAGAGTTAGTAATCACTAAAGTCAGAGTTAGTAATCACTGAAGTCAGAGTTAGTAAACATTGAAATCAGAGTTGGTAATCACTGAAGTCAGAGTTAGGAAATATTGAAGTCAGAGTTAGTAATCACTGAAGTCAGAGTTAGTCAATTTTGAAGTCAGAGTTAGGAATCACTGAAGTCAGAGTTAGTAATCACTGAAGTCAAGGTTAGTCAATATTGAAGTCAGAGTTAGTAATCATTGAAAAGAGTTAGTAATCACTGAAGAGTTGGTAGTCAGTTGAAGTCAGAGTTAGTAAACATTGAAGTCAGAGTTAGTAATCACTGAAGTCAGAGTTAGTCACATAGTTAGTAATTAGTCAGAGTTCGTAAATATTCAAGTCAGAGAATTAAATATTGAAGTCAGAGTTAGTAATCACTGAAGTCAGTCAGTTAGTGGTAAAATATTGTTAGTCAATCATTGAAGTCAGAGTTAGTTAGTAATCATCACTGAAGTCAGAGTTAGTAATCACTGAAGTCAGAGTTAGTAAACATTGAAGTCAGAGTTAGTAATCACTGAAGTCAGAGTTAGTAAATATTGAAGTCATTGAAGTCAGAGTTAGTAAACAGAGTTAGAGTAAATATTGAAGTCAACATTGAAGTCAGTTTTAGAAGACATTGCAGTCAGGATCATGAAATGTAGACGTCAGGGTTAGTAATAATTGAAATCAACATTGAAGTCGGAGATAGTATATTGAACTCAACATTTAATTCAGTTAGTAAACATTGAATTCAGAGTAAAAAAACACTGAGGAAGCTGTTTTACATGGGAACATTATAATTAAGCACTTGCTACTCCCGAGATGAGCAAGACATCTGTATGCATCCATTTTTGTTATGGTGGCTGCATGGTGTCCGTCATATTATTTTTCAACTATTCTTCTTCACAGAGTTGGATCCAGAGCCCAGTCAGCTCACGGTCAGTGTAAATCTCCCACCCGACAGAACACCAACATCTCCCTGCCAGAACGCATCCGTTCCGCCACCTTGTATCACAGCACATGTCCTCTGGCTGTGCGACAGTTTGCCATGACAGGGATAAAGAGTCAGTGTCGATGTAACCGTTACGCCATCCCCCACGTCACAGACATCGAAGTTTGACGAGTTCATCATCAGGGAAGCTCCACCATCCCAGCTCCAGATCGTGTGTGTCGTATCCTCTCTGTAAGTGACGCTAATTGTTGTTCAAGACTTACATGTGTTGTTATCCCTGCTTAGGGACCATTCAATATTTATGGGTAGGAGGGGTGATGCTGATTTTAAGGGGGGTCAGCCATTTTGTTCTGGGGAGGTAGTGGGGTCATCAATCTTGTACACATGTACTAGGGGGGTGTCATTTAATTTTGTACATGACATGCAGAGGGGTCACTTACTTTGTACATGAATTTTAGGGGGGAGTCATTCACATTGTACATGCTACTCCATATAAATCATCATCACACCCCCTAGCCGTAAATTATTAACGGTCTCTTATGAGATTTGGTTATACATTGTAGGGAGATGTTTAGACTGTAAGAAGGGTACTTATGTTTTGCTTACATTCTTCTAAAGTTGGCTCAGAATGGTAGTCTTGCAGTTTGAATATGTATACATGTATATATTACTGAGGTTTTAATGTGTTGAATGAGAGTGATCTCCCTTTGAACGTAGATGCACAAGACCTACAGTTACAAACTTCTTGTTTTCATCATTGAACACTTTCAAGGGTTCGTACTTATGTCATTTTGCACATTTTAAATTTGACTGAAAAACTGAAACATAGGCGTAGGAACGGGGGTCAGGGGTGGCAATTGCGCCCCCATCTTTTGAAGGATAATGACATCAAAGAGAATTTTATACTGTACTGTCAGTAATTATCTGACACAAATTATCAAATGATAATCATATGATAATAGTAAAGATAATAATGTCAAAAAGAAATATCTACTGACTCGTGAGCGATTATCCATGACTAATTATCAAACAATTATCATATGGTAATAATAAGGAATCCTATCAAAGAGAGTTGATGCTAACCTCCCCTTCACCCCCTGCAGCTACTCCCACGCTACAGGGGCCGAGGACATGTTGAACCAGCTGTACAACAACATGAACCGAAACCGGACACGCCCATGCACCCAGTGTCGGGGGGACACATACAGGATATTCAAGTACGACATCAACACCGCAGCGAACATGTCCGACCACACACAACCTCTTCTCCTCACCAGACATAATGTGGTTCCTGGAATGTTTCTGGTAGGTTCTGGAGACAGATGTCTTTGATGTAGAGGTGGCAAGATGAGAGAGTTTAGTTTATCACCGCTTTTAGCAATAATCCAGCAATATCATGGCAGGGGACACCAGAAATGGGCCTCACACAGTGTAGCCATGTGGGGAATCGAACCCATGTCTTTGGCGTGACGAGCGTACACTTTAACCACAAGGCTACCCCACTGCCCAAGAGGTGGCAGGAATGTACCTGGCCAGATATAGGATGGTGATCTTGATTATTGTCAGGCATCAAGTCTTCTGAGTCAGGAGTGTCAGGAATTCCGTAATATAACCTGATTAGGGTCCGTAATTCTTGGGTAACATTATATGGATGCCAAACCAGATCTGGGTTAGAATAGGTCTTCAGCAACCCTGTCATACTTGTCATAAGAGGCGACCAACATGACCGCAGCATTGAACAACAAACAAACAAACAAAGATATGAATGCCAGGATTGTTCATGTTAATAGACTTGCTTATTTGGTGAATTGATTGTCATTGTTCTCTCTGGTTTGTGCTCCTAATATTGACCACTTGTCAATCCAGATTGGCTGGAATATCATTAAATGTGATGTGAATCTACAACAAAGATAACATGTGCCATTTAGGTTCACTGAAGAACACAAACGATCATCCCGTCTTGTTTCCAGGTCTATGCTGATGGCCGTCTGCTGTTCTGATTTGTCTGAAATATCATTAAATGTGATTTGAATGAACAAAAAAGACACCATGTACCATTCAGGTTCACTGAAAACACAAATGAACATCCCTTCTTGTTTCCAGATCTATGCTGATGGCCGTCTGCTGTTCTGCGATCACATCTTCAATGGCTACGGTAACACCAGCAGGAAGGACTTCAAGAAGCAGATCATGAAATCGAGGCTAGACTCACTGCAGGGCTATTCTCTGCCGAAAGATTTCAGATTTAGGTGAGTAGGACATTTGGAACAGTCATCACATAAATCATTTGCATCTCTGAGCTCCATACTCTCCAGTCATCAACTCACTGACAACTGCCATCTCTCTGTTCAGCCCTACAGACATTGACCATAGAACTTTCTTTCACATTAGTCAATTTCATTAGAATTCCCTCCCTCTATAGATAAACATCCATCTCAGTGTGAGAAGTGAGTGAGTGTGGTCTTACACTGCTTTTAGCAATACTCCAGCAATATCACAGCAGGGGACAACAGAAATAGGCTTCTCACATAGTACCCATGTGGGGAATCGAACCCGAGTCTTTGTCATAACAAGCCAATGCTTGAACCACTTGGCTACCCACCACCCCAAGTCTTGAAAACTTTACCTACCTGTTCTGAAGTTGCCTTAGCCCTGTTTGTAATCGTTTCTTTCTCCTTTTATATATCTATATTCAGTTTCGGTGCATGATTTTACATGAACTATGTTTATTACTTGTCTTTGTAGCACCTTGAGCAGTAATTACTATCGTTGTTGCTATTGTTGTTGCTGTTGTTGTTGTTGTTTATAACCTCCCAAAAGGGTTATGGTATGAATGGAACTTTATTGGTCAGTTTTGGTCAACCATTATGTTAATGTTTGGAGACCTTGGTGAAATGCTTGCCCTCAGAGGAACATTAACCTAATACACTTCAGGAATACTGAACGCTGTAACCCAGCTGACATAACCCTTCTCAAGATAATCACTTTCCTAATCTTAAACCAAATCAAAATCTCCACCCCAGGCTAGAAGTTACTGACGCAAACTCTTGACATCCTCATTCAGGGCTTACACATATAGAACTGTGGCCCTTGTCATGGTTTCTATCATACATGTTTAGATGTAGAGCACACCTGTTCAACCACCTGTCTGCATGGCAGTAGTGTGAGAACAGACATCCTTAGTTAGGGCCAAGGTTCACAAAAACTATGCCCAAACTATGTGTTATCAATGTTATGAAGTAAGAATCACCTTAGTCTGAATGAATGCCTTTTCTGATCTGATATGACGGGTGGTATATTTGTGTAAGTTACTTGTATACATTATGAGGATTAGTTAATGGAACCTTGTATATATTTTGACGAAAAGTTCATGGGATCTGTCTAATGGTGTTAGTGTTTGTATGCATGTATTGATAGTATTACATAAACGTCTGGCCATGTCATATATCACTGGACCAGGTTAATTTAGCATTGCAGCCAGAGTATGTCAGAGTAATCATATAAGGATATGTTTCTTATAATTATTTTATGCAACTGACTGTGATTTATTTCAAACATTAGCATATCTGGGTAACTGTTTACTATCAGCATTATTTCAGAGTATGTTCAAGGCGGTGGGGTAGCCTAGTATTTAAAGCATTCGCTCGTCACGCCGAAGACCCGGGTTCGAATCCCCACATGGGTACAATGTGTGAAGCCTATTTCTGGTGTCCCCCACCGTGATGTTGCTGGAATATTGCTAAAAGCGGCGTAAAACCAAACTCAGTCAGTCAGTCAGAGTATGTTCAGGTTTGTTCTTGGTCTGAACTTGATTTGGACAGACCATTGTCATAAATCGGGAATATTGCTATAGTCTGTTTGCAGTGAAAACATGCCCATGAATTTCACTTTAATAAAAAAGTTAATCAAATAAGTGAAATTAAGATTGCGAATCCTCATAACTTTACCTTGCCAATTTATCCATTTAAATCTCAGAATTTTATTCAATTTACGATAAAAGTTGTTTAACAAACGATCATAGATTCAAATCACTATTATTGGTGTGTATTACAAGGGGGTAAGCGCAGTAGTTGGAACAGTGAAACAAATGCATGTGCAGTATGTTATGAGTGTTAACGTAGACTAACCCTTCTTGTTCTCGTTGTTTCATTTAATGTGCATACCCCATTGTAATACAAACCAACAATAGCGATTTGAAACTATGATCATTTGTTAAACAACTTTTATCCTAAGTTGAATAAAATTCTGACATTTCAATGTTCAGTTGGCAAGGTAAAATTATGAGGATTCGCAATCTTAATTTCACTTTATTTGATTTACATTTATGTATAAAGTGAAATTCATCGGTACGTTTTCACTGCAAACAGACTATATCAGACATTAAAATGAATTCACTCACTGAAAGAAGAAGCCAGTTCGAAAAATACTGAAAATATGTTTTTGGCTGACAGAAATCAATGGATGCCGTCTAGAATCACCTATATGCTTGTCTCAGGAAGCTCTGTTGTATAGGCTAGATAGATTACTGCACTTTTACAACCCTCACACACTCAAATCAAGTCAAATTTGAAATCCTGAGATTCTGAGTGAGTGAGATTAGTTTGACATCACTTTTAGCAATATTCCAACAATATCATGATGGGTACACCAGAAATGGGCTTCACACATTGTACCCATGTGGGGAACCGAGCCGGAGTCTTCGGTGTGACAAGTGAACGCCTTTACCACTAGGCTACCCAACTGCCTCACTGATACTTTAAAATATGAATACATGTATTTGCTTTTGTCATGAAGGAGTCAATCAAGAATAGAACCCGAGTAGAGAACCTGATTTAAAATGCAAAATAATTATTTAAAAACAAAATTTTATATATTTTTATGCTCCAGCCCTAGTCGTGGTCGCCATGGAGCCCGGTCAGCATGGGGTGGGGAGATTGGTGGCGCCGGAGTGGACAACTATGGCAGTCCAGGGACGTCGGTCAGCAACGCACTCATGCCAAGACTTGATTCATCGGACAGTGGGGAGGGTCCTACCCTGGACAAAGTAAAGTAAGTATGACAGTTTCAAAGAGCACATAGATGTTGTACCTAGTCGTTCCTGGGCAACTGTTCGTCTGTCGTGAACATCCCTTACACTTATTATTAGTATTTATAAATTAATTTTCATTCACAGGTCAACATCATCATATTTACAAATATAGTACTTTTGAGAAAAATTACCACAAAGTAAACTCTTAAATAGTTTATTTAGGTTTTTAGATTTTCATTTATGATTTTAAAAAATTGTAGAAGTAAAATTCCAATATATTCTTGTAGTTTCTTTTTTCAAATTTTTAACTCCTTTGATCGAAATATTCAAATTTGATAGAATGCACATGATTTTTTTAATTATTATTATTAACAAGATTTAGCTGGATTATGTTGTGAAATAATAAAACACAAAATACCTAGTAGGAATATAGAAGTCAAATATGTCAAAGTATCTCATGTTTTTAATGTATTGTGTAGATCGATGCTCATGCCGTTGATCACTGGATTGTCTGATCTAGACTCGATTATTTACAGTCCTCTGCCATATAGCCGGAATATTGCTGAGTGCAGTGTTAAAAATCAATCAATCAATGTCATTGATCTATTAATTTATGAACTACGAGATCCTTAATGGAAATTCGAAAATTTTGTAGGTTTTGTCAAGCTTTTTCAAATGAATCTCAAACACACAAACATTTTCATGCTTATCAAAATTTCAACAGTTTCAAAGTCTTTAAACAGCATGTAGTTGTATTTAAGTGAATAACGTGACATGTTGAAGTTAGAAAGTTCTCTATCTGTTTGAAAAGCTATTTTCCATTTAACTGGTACAAGAGAAAGATACGACTGGTAAGTTTAGTGGGGATATAATGTATGAGCATAACAAGGTGTTTCTGTTTCCCTCATATAGCCATATGTTGGTAACCAGCTAGTGTAAGCATCTATGTCCACACTGTGGGATGTCTCGAGCTGGCTGGGTTGTTGTACGATCAGACTCCACTGCTGTATACACTGGTACACCTGTCTTACTTGGATATAGATGTAATTAAACGTGACTGAATTGGGGATTGGGTGGCTAATGTTGTTGAATGCAGTTAGTATTTGGACACTGAAGCAAGTGAGTTTAGTTTTACTCCACTTTTAGCAATATTCCAGCAATATCACGGTGGGGGACACCGGAAATGGGCTTCACACATTGTACCCATGTGGGAATCGAACCCGGGTCTTCGGTGTGACAAGCAAAACGCTTTAACCACTAGGTGGCCCCACTGAACCAAGGAAAAGGTCTTAAGAATCCTTCTGATGAAATAAACCCTATTACTGTGAGTGCTGTGATTAATATACTGAGCACAACAAATTAGGGATCATGAACATTTATGGAGATATATTTTGTACTGAAGACTTAGCACCCAATTTAAAAAATATTAATGATCCTTAACTGGTTTGTCCCAATTCTACTAGCATAGCTGGCTGAGGTGCTAGGCTGGTGATCCAGCGAGCGAGCTAGTGTACAGTATACAACCCTGTTCACTTAAAAGAACCAACGAATACGTTGGTAAATGTGGTAAATGACCAGATGGTGGCCACATGAATACGTGCAAACACCTAGTTGCGGGTAGAGCAACGTGCAGTGAACTTGGATAAAGTACTGTGACTATGTGTCCCAGTCCACCCAGCCGTGAATGGGTACATCGTAAGGATGGGAAAGCCACAATAACTCGGTGCGCCTAGTGGCTGCAAGAGTTGTGAGCGGGGAGTTGAGATTGATGATATGATGTGCCGCTGAGATTGATAGCCAGTGATCGAGGGGAAAAAATACCGGCGCCTTGAGCATGTACTAGTTGCATGGATATGTGCTATATAAACATCCTATAATAATAATAGGGCGGTGGGGTAGCCTAGTGGTCAAAGCGTTGGCTCGTCACGCCGGAGACCCGGGTTCGAATCCCCACATGGGCACAATGTGTGAAGCCCATTTCTGGTGTCCCCCGCGGTGATGTTGCTGGAATATTGCTAAAAGCGGCGTAAAACCAAACTCAGTCAGTCAGTCAGTATAATAATAATAATATAATAATAATAATAAATTGGAACTTATAATGCACCTTTTCCATGCACAAGGCCCATGCTCAAAGCGCTAACAAAGTGAGTGGATAATATACATATATACAATGAGGGACTAGTAGTTAGTCATAATGCAGTGAAAACAGATGAGTCTTGAGAAGTCGTTTGAAGGAATTAAAGTCAACTGCTGATTTAATGGTGATAGGGAGCAGGCAAGGGATTTCCTTCCAAAAGTTTGCAGTTTGAAAAGAGGCACAGAGAGTAGGTTCAGATTCTGAGAACGGAGCTGTCTTTCTGGAGTGTATGGGGTAAGAAGTTCTTTCAAGTATTCTGGGCCTTTGCCATTGAGGCATTTATAGACAAAACACAATATTTTAAAGTCAATTCTTGATTTAACAGGCAGCCAGTGGAGGTTTTTCATGACAGGTGTTATGTGGGAGCGCTTTGAAGTTCTGCTTATGATTCGGGAGGCTGTATTTTGGACATTTTGCAATTTTGATAGCAGCTTCTGACATTCCAGATTGATGTCATATCTGTCTAACATAACATTAAGGGGTTTACAGAAACTCTGGCGCTTCCAAATGAAATTTCTGGGCAAGGACTAATAAATAAGACTTCAGCATATGAAAACACATGTCTATATTTTAAACCGGTTGTAGATGTGACATTGACAGGTACCAGGTATACAGCATTGGCATCTTTTACAACAAATACCGCCAGTCAGCCATGTATGTTGGCTGGGTTATAATGTTCAGCCTGTGGTGTCGACAACCCGTCAACCTTGTTTTGTCCATGGATACAGAGAAATGTATCAATGTGTTGTATCGTCCTTGTATCCTTGGTAACAATAACTCCTAACAGATGAACAATGGTTTCATATTTTTAAATTACTTCTCTCTAACCAAACATTACCTGTTCTATCTAAGAAACTGTTTGGCATAGAATACTGATGCACAAAAATAAGGGAACATGTAACATTACTTTAAAATGAGGTCAGCTGTTTACAATACAAATAGACAAACTGTATCAAGGCCCACGTGAAGTTATCTTAGTGTGAGGACAGTATAAAGTGTGTTAAGACATGGACATCGTGATGTCCTGTTAGTACTGAGCCTGCTTTGTGCACGTGGGCATTCTTGTTTTCGCTACTTTGACAAACATTCAGTGGTTATGCCTTCAGACTCATAGCTGCTCACATATTTTCACACTTTCATTTCAGTTCACCTTGTCATAAAATCAATGTGATGGACCTAAACATTCATAAAAATAACCATCATTGGCAATATACACCTGGAATTCTCATGGCACACCTCATCTACCTTCAACAGTGATGGGTTTGTCTGAAAAATGTGTTCTATTGACTTGAACAGAGAACGGGACGGTGGGGTAGCCTAGTGGTTAAAGCGTTCCCCACATGGGTACAATGTGTGAAGCCCATTTCTGTTGTCCCCCGCTGTGATATTGCTGGAATATTGCTAAAAGCAGCAAAAAAACATACAAACTCACTGAACGGAGTACGCCAGTGGTATTTTGCCTGTGATACAAGCATTGAGATCTTGGAAGTATAACCACATTATTTTTAATATAATAACATTTGTTCACTTAATGCTTCATGTTTGTGAAACAAGGTCAAGATTAGGTTTCAGAACATTACCGTTTGTAGTTGATACAAGCTGATGTATCATTTGTGAGCCTTTAGTTCCAGCGTGGGACAGACACAGGAAGGTAATTTGGATGGAGTGGCGCAAGCACATTGTTGACACGTGCTCAGCACTTGTGCTGTGGAGGACATACTTCATACTGATCCCTGTTTTCATAATTCTGACTGTGCTTAAGAAGGAAAATTCATGAAACAAATACCAAACCAGACACATCTTGGCCAGATCATTTTTTTCTCAAGTTTTCATACATGAGTCTGATTTGAATAAATGAATTTTATTTTTATTTGCAAAATTTAATTGTTTCCCATAAATATTCTATTCTTTTTATTTTAAATATCTTTTTAATTGAATCTCTCCCTTTTTAGATCATAAACCACAATCCTTTTTGTATAGGTTTTTGAAAATAATATTTTGTATTTAACAAAGAAAATCTGTGAAACAATTTAAAAAATGGTCTTGCCTTACATATTTCAAACAAACCATTTTGTCAATATCTGTGAGTCACATCCAGTGCATTCCCCTTGATGCAGCCTACCCAGATTTACCCATGCCAGCTTAGAATATTTTATCCTCAAACTACCCCAAATTATCCACCAATTCCATGTCAATGAAACCCCTGTGCTTCTCAAACCTTGCAATTTATCCTGTGTGTTCTGCTGTATGCTCAGGTTTTCATGAAAATGTATATTTCATTGACATGGTGAGTTGTTGACAGGCTGTCACTCATCGCCAATGACAGGTGATGACGTACGCTATTTACATGGTATACATTTCAGAATCTCTAAGTACACAAGACGACTACTTCAAGCTATAGGTACAACGTGTGGCTGGTTTTGTATTTCTAGAGCTAGATCAATGCTGTAAATGTCTGATATTTGAAAAAATGATCCCTTAATAAGAATAAGTTTTGAAGCAATGGAATATTGAAAAGAAATACTTCACAAAACTTAATCCGCATTTTTAGCCATTACTCCCAAACCAGAGTCTGATGAAAGCTCTTTCGGTCTGATAATAGTCTAGATATTAGTTTGTATACTAAGATTAAAATCTACTAAAATAACACCAAGGTGTAACTTCAAGCAAGAAGATTGTAAAATATTTTACTCTCATTTTTATGAAACAATTGACCTTTTAAGAAACTCTTAACTTTTCTTTTCAATTTCATGGTACATAATCTTTATTTGAGACATTTTTTCAAAAACGTTTTTCAATACTCATAAAATTCAGAAAAACTGAAGAGCAGCTAGCCACAGATATATATTCAGACTCCAAATATTGTTTGCGTGACCCAGCTTGAATGGTTTATGTCATAGGGCGATCTATCGGCGGATCGGGCCATTACTAAACATGGTGCCTTGGAGGTAAATGTGGTTGTGTGGTTGTTCATTGTCTGTATGCACAGGGGTTGTAGGCATGTTTGAAGTGATAACATTACCTTGATGGTCATTCACGCTTGTTTTTACGGCACCTCTACCACGATTGTGTTTTCTTTAATTTGTCACCAATAAGTTTGAAAATAATATTTTAACTTATGCACTGTCCACCTTGCAATTTTCTGGCACCGTTTCCTTTCTGTTTAGCACTACAGTATTGGGTGTATTTGGTTTCCTGTGATCTGTTGAGAGATTTCATAGAACGATATGATACTGAATGATACATGCTCAGAGATACTGACTGGATGATGCTTTGACACTTACGTATCTTGATAGTGAGATCACGATACGATACATTGTACAGACAAAATGAGACAAAATTATTAATATGTACTGACATCATGATAATAAATAGCCAAACATTTACATTAGGTTTGATTGGCTGATTCATCACTATCAATAAAATATTTAATTTAATGGATGAAAGAAATCAAATCATGCAAAATATTTTTTCATTGTTTCCTCTTTTTTATATAACAATTACAAAATAAACTTTCAATTTTGCAATACATGCTCATGTTGTTCATCATTTGTACAGACTCGATTATTTACAGACTGCCACCATTTAGCTTGAATATTGCTGTGTGTGATGTTTAGCAAACAAACAAACAAACTTCTAGGAAAACAAACAAAACTTTTAGGCAAACAATTTCACTGGACGCACCAACAGGACATGTTTAGCCATAACATCAAGCATTTACAGTGGTGTATTATTTTTCTTTGGAATGGGGTTTATATGTGAGGACAAATTATTTTTTACAAAATTTTCTTTGATTTTAACATATTTTATTCACAAATGTGAAAGGGATTGGGGATAAGTTATCCAACTTAAACTACCCACTCCCCTAAATTTTCTTTAACATTTAATATATTTGTATGTACTGAAATAACCCAGTGTTTCACATGTTGGACCATTACAGTGATTACGAACTGATAAAAAAATTAACACAGCAGACTGATACTCAGACTGTCGACCACTAGTTTGTAATTTCCAGTCTCTGTAACATGGCACCCAGTGGAGGAACAAATTAAATTGTACAGTCCGTTTGGGTTCAAATGAGAACAATGAATGATTAAATAACTCGAAATGGGGATAAGTGCACAAAACATAAATGAGACACATGGTCCTGAAACCTCTGTACGCAACGGGATCTGAAATATGACGTTTTATGATCAATCACGGAAATTGTTTAAGAAACTATCATGTAACATTGTTCTGTTTTCGCGCTTCACACCGAGGGGTGACAAATGACTGGTGGAACAGCGCCGGCCGTATCCTGACTATTAGGGGGGCTGTGCTGGGTTGCATGATATACTGGAATAGGCACTTTTCTCAGTGTTTAATGCAACAGGATGCCAAATATACCAAATACTATATCTGTACTGATATCAAAATTACCTGTTTGATTGATATTCATAGAATGAATTAAGGGGCCTTCTATGATTTTTACTGATCAAAATGATATCTTTGGGTTTCCTGTTTCGATAATTAGCTACGACAATAGTGTTTCATGGATGGTTGAGAATATTGTAGAATGTTTTGTTATGTGTTGATGTGCACTAGACGTTGGTGAAGGGTTGCATAAACAAACATCGCGATTGTTATTGTGTGAGATAACTTATACTATAAGCTGAATATATTTAACTCTGTAAAAGTCCAGTGCTGGATGTGTGACTGATTTATTGTTCTATTTATTTTCAATTTTTTTTATTGCATTTTAGGTTTTGTTTTTCATTTGCAGTCACAATCACTTGAAATGAAATCATTGTCATATATGTATTATAAGACTTTTTTGCTTCTTTTGAATGTTTTGTGAAAATTATCCTAGTACTCTCACAAGGAAAGAACTTTATTGTTTAAAATGATAATATCTATTTTATTTTGGCCAATATAGAATGTATATTGGCTGGCATCATGATTCTGATGTCCAGAGTTTAATATCACACTCCAGCTGTGTAATGAAATAAAATCTTTGTTTTCTTAAAAGACTTCATTGTAACAAATTTAGCCATGGTACAATATCCCTACATGCCCATGCTAGGGATTTAAGGGCTGTTGTTTTTTCAAACTAGGTATTTCAGCTTGTCATGGCATAAAGAATAATCTGTTTATTGCCATGTGAATATGTGTAGTAGACATGTTTTAATACATGATATCTGATCATAAGGAATTGGAAGTATTCAGAGATCAGTCAAATGTACTTAGTCTTTTTACACGTATGAAATTTCGCATGACTAGAATAAATAAGAATGTTTTTGTTTGAAGATATGATTTTTAATATCTGTATTTTCATTAAAACTTTGATAAAGACTTACATGAAGAAAACTGTGTTCAACACAACGAAGCCTAAAAGCATCTTTGTCCAGATTAGTTCATCCTCGATGATATCATCATTTCTCTTGCATAGAGTTCTGAATATGTGATTGGATTTAAGACTATTTTCTACGATCATTTCAACTGGATCCAAAATATAGTTTTGATGGTGAATGGACCCACAGTATTATCAGAATGTATTTGAAAATATATGTGGATAAGCTATGATGAATTCATTGATTGGTGAAGAAAATATTGCCTTAACAATTAAATATGTGATTTTTATGACATTTGATTAACAGTTACATTTGTTCCATGTGTGCATTGTGTGTTCACGTGACGTCTTCTGTGTTGCAATGTGTGTGGGTTTGCAGTGACTGACATTTAAATAAAATGCTTTTTGCTATCGGCAGCTATATCAACTGATGGAAATTAATAATTTTCTCATCAATTTTAAAATATCAAATGCTATAAATTGAATAAGTATTAAAACATCAAGAATTTTTATTCACCTTGACATCTTACTTAATGCTGAAACAGTTGAACGTGATGTGATTATTCATTTAAAATGTTCATTTATGATTAAAAGAGGTCTTCAACATAACATCTCACTTAATAGTTCTAATATATTAAGATTTGTGTGTAAAAGTATTCTTCCATCAAAATAGCTTCAGTAAAATATAAACAATAGATATGAATTTGTGTTCCTGCTTGACTGTTCTGTTTTCCTCCCTGCGGCAGTTCCAGCAATCAAATACCCTCCCTGACATCAATCACATCACATAATTGACAGGTAACAGTGACAGTCATAGATTTTTTTGTGTGGACAAAATATTTAATTTATGTGTGTGGAGAACAAACTGTAAATGTTTGGCAGTATCATTTTGTGTGTGAAAGATTAGATATTGATGGTCTTTCAGCTGGGGCTACTTCTGGATACAAGTTTTTAGTGGTGTGGTCCCAGTGTGATACTTATCCTGAAGTTATGGGGGGATACAATAATGTATCCAGATACAGTCCTTTCATTTCATACACCAATATTCTTTTTTTGGCAGGTGAATCATAACCCAGTATACATTTGTTTTTAAATTTCAGAGTTTGAACATCAGATTTTGTAAGGCAGAAATATACTGAGGGAAAAAAATAAGGGATCACATAAAACACAAGTGTTCCTTTATTTATTTCCAGGTTTCTGAGGGGCAGTAGGGTAGCCTAGTGGTTAAAGCGTTCGCTCGTCACGCCGAAGACTCGGGTTCGATTCCCCACTTGGGCACAGTGAGTGAAGCCCATTTCTGGTGTCCCCCGCCGTGATATTGCTGGAATATTGCTAAAAGCGGCGTAAAACCCAACTCACTCACTCACTCCAGGTTTCTGCACAAGCAATGCGATATAACGCTTCGAACCGGGAAATAACGCTTGTGAAGAAACCTGGAAAAAATTAAAGGAACACTTGTGCTTTCATGTGATCCCTTATTTTTTTCCCTCAGTATATATTGACTGGAGAGCACAGTGCACTTTATGCTGTTTGCAGCCAAATGAAATCCTGGAGAATCTTGTGAAAGCTGGTTATTAAAAAGACTGAAAGACTTATATTGCTATGTTGAACAGGACCCTGATTGTATTCAAGATGGTCGTCGACCTTTTGCCCTTGACCTGCAATATGTCTGTTTTATGATATATGGTTGCCTTTTGCCATTTTAAGATTGAAATGAAGCGTTGGCAGCAACTGCGTTGTAAAACCTTCACAACATCGTTGGTTGTCGTCATCTTCATCCCTTTGTCAATTTGCTCCATGATTCATCCTTCACCTTTTGCCCTTGACCTGCAGTGATATGTCTGTTTGATGCCATATGGTTGCCGTTTGCCATTATCAATTTAACACGAAGCATTTGCAGCAACTGGGTTGTAAAAGTCTCCACGACATCTCTCCTTCAGGGGCCTGCATCCCGTGGCCAAGTTGATCAGCCTCAGCCTCTCCCCCGTCAGCTTCCGACCAACCGCCCACCTGACCTCGCACCTCAAACAGCAGCCAGTAGCTCATCCAATCTCCGGGACAACAGGATGAGGCTGGACACCTCAACTCCATCTTGTAGATCCTCAAGTGTGTCAAGTCAACAAGTGCCAGTTATCCCCCTTGCAGTGCTCAAAATCCACTCTGAAATTCAGGGTACTCTTGTCATTGCCCAAATTTGAAATGTTAAAGGTTCGTGGTCCAAAGGGTCCAAGGAGCAAACCTGAAGGAACCCTGGACCCTGATCAATATTTAAAATGCCATGTATGAGTTTGGATGTACCTGTACCGATACATAGTGGTATCTAGATGTTGAGTGGCACTACAGTTTATCGATGAATTGTCAGTAAAAACCTTGTTAATTCAAACTGCCTGTCACATTATATGAAGCTTTTACGAAAAATAAACATTAACAAGTGCTTTTCTTGTCCAATTGCAGCAAACAGTGATACAAAACAGACATTGTATAGTGATTACTAGGACAATAATGATTCACTTGCGTATTCAGTGACTCATCGATTCAGTTGTTCATTATCACAAAACTAAATTTTGTTAATTTTTGAAGAAGTGTTTTTGCTTGAATTTGAGTTTTGTTTCTGAAAGTGAGATATTTAAAATGGAAGACGTCCCAGCCAGGCAGGATAATAGTCAACACATACAATTAATGTGACAGTATTGTGGTCAGTGGTCATAGGTGTGAAAAATTAACTATGTCAACATGGTCAAAACATGTCAAAGAATTAATTTTGTTGTTTCACTGAATATAAAGAATAAAACATCAAAGGCTGAAATGTTACTGTATCCATTAGCCAATTTCTTAGTCGTTACCCGATATTCATTATATGTGTCATATTCGCCTCAGTGGAATTGTTGTAGCCCTGTAGTGATTACAACAGAAAAAAGGTCAACGTGAAGCAAACTTGCCTGAAGCTGCTCATCCAAACAGATATTACTATTTTTCCCCATATAAAGAGGGTTTGCAGCATAGGATCGAAGAATTACCACATCAAAATAGAGGATGGTCGCTCAATATGTAATGTTACATTGAGAGGTAGATCAAATTAATGCTAAATCATTTCCAAATACATGTCATATGGGTATTGTTGTAAGTAGTGGGTATTGTTGTAAGTAAGAGTGGACATACATTATCAATACACCACGATGAATTTTCTTCCTAAAACTGATGAACATTTAACCATCATTGCTCTGTATGAATCATAATGACTATCCAAATAATATTGTAACAGAAAGAAATAGGTGAAATCTGTTTATGTATATTTTCATGCATGCATAATTTGGTTTACCTCAAAGCTAAGTGAGGTGCAACCTGACTGTTAAAAAATAGAAATACTACACAAGTTCTCGTTAGATACCACTTTTACAAAATGACTGAAATTCCTATGGTATATAATATGGTCAGATACAATAGGAGATTCACTCACTTTATCAAATAGTACCTAATGAGAATGAGAATTATTTATTACCCAAGCTTTAAATAAAATTATTTTTTTGTGAATGTTTTTCATGTACATATCACAAACTGAAACTGGTTTAAGAAAGAGGTTGCGGAGAAACTAAATTTACAAAAAGCCTGTGCACTACTTCATGCATTCCAATGTATGTACACCAGCATGAAGTTCTCAACTTACATTATGCCAACATGGTATTTAAATGTGATTAGTCATTGTTCTTAACTATTAATTTTTTTGTAATAATTTTATTACCCTGAGATGTGTTGACAAACAATATTGAAGTTGTAAAAGTTGAAAAAATAATTGATTGTTATGAATGAAAAATAGTTCTGGATCAATATGACCCAGTGTCATCTATCCAACGCTCAAATTGGCGTCAACCCTGTATGACGACACTGGTCCACCTTGTACATCACACACGTGTCATATCGTTTTGTATGTTACCATCTGTTTGTTTACCACTGTATGTGTATCTGCGTCATTTACATACAAAACCATCAGTAGTTGAACCAAAGAATGATCTCTTTCCCACCAAAGCATACTTAATGTTAATTATGGCCATGTTAAACTGCTGATACACTTATTCTTCCATCATATGATATTGTAAGTTTAGTTTATTTTTTTCATAAAAAAACTTTGTTACCAGTATTCAGTGGTCAAACTGCTGAGTTTTGTAATATATATATCCCATTGTTATGAAACCTTACTTCGCTATATGGCTGAATTAATGATGAGAAGTAAAATTGTAACTCAAATCAACTGAAACTTTACTTCCAGCATCAGAAAGTATCATTCAACCAAATGGCTGACTTTTATTCACATTTCCAAGAATGTTCTGACTGCCAAACTGCATTACTCAACAGTCGAACAAAAAATTACATTTTTGCAAAACTGATTTAATAGTATATTATTTAAAACATGCTTGTATCGCTGTCTGATTGATTTAGTTCCTGTATATAAGAATTCTTGCTTGCCAAAATATTTTTACATAGACTTGATACAGCTCTGTAACCTGAGTGAATGGGTTGCTTGTATAGTGTTATTGAAAATCTATATTATAATGTTGCAGTCTGTGATATTGTAGCTGTGATGAGCAAATTGTTTTCTATTCTATTGTTCATGTTCTACCCTATTGTTCATGATTCTACCGTTATTCATGGTTCTACCTGTTTATGATTCTCCCCTATTTTTCACGATTCTATCCTGTCCATTTTTCCATATCTTCATATTCTCATTTGAGCCAGTTTGTTTTCTTGGGAGTTTTTCTGTTATTTTTTAAGATACATTACGTACACAATTTCTTAATGTTGGAAGTATGTCTAGAAATGGTGTTTTTTGTAAGAGTTCTCTACAGATTAATATTATGAACAAAATAAAGTTTTGCATCATTTTTGTAAGGAAAAATTTCATCCTTAAGACCATATTTTGGTACTTAGGATATTTCTATTGTTAATAACACATTCAGGAATAATATTTCTGTTACAAAGTCCATAGAAACATGAAAAATACTCAGCACAGTAGAAAACACTGGCATGCACCCTCTCTTGTAGTTGACAAGATTTAATAGATAATTAATAAAATCTCTTAATTTCAAATCTATTACATAAATGTTTTGATTGTTTATAATGCCAGCAACAATGTGCCTTTTTGTCCTTGCTCATCTCATACTGTTGCCAGGCATGCATAAGTGATAAAAAAATATCCAGCTTCTCAGTACTGTATGTGACAGTAAGTTATCCCTCCTCTTAGCAGTGTAAATGTGACAGTAAAAGTTACCCCTCTCCTTGGTACTGTAAAGGTGACAGTAAAAGTTACCCCTCGCCTCAGTTAGTGTAAAAGTTACCCCTCGCCTCAGTTAGTGTAAAAGTCACCCTCTCCTTGGAAGTGTAAAGGTGACAGTAAAAGTTACCCTCTCCTCAGTTAGTGTAAATGTGACAGTAAAAGTTACCCCTCGCCTCAGTTAGTGTAAATGTGACAGTAAAAGTTACCCCTCGCCTCAGTTAGTGTAAATGTGACAGTAAAAGTTACCCCTCGCCTCAGTTAGTGTAAATGTGACAGTTAGTTAGTGTAAATGTGACAGTAAAAGTTACCTAAAAGCCTCAGTTAGTGTAAATGTGACAGTAAAGTTAAAGCCTCAGTGTAAATGTGACAGTAAAAGTTACCCCTCGCCTCAGTTAGTGTAAATGTGACAGTAAAAGTTACCCCTCGCCTCAGTTAGTGTAAATGTGACAGTAAAAGTTACCCCTCGCCTCAGTTAGTGTAAATGTGACAGTAAAAGTTACCCCTCGTCTCAGTTAGTGTAAATGTGACAGTAAAAGTTACCCCTCATCTCAGTTAGTGTAAATGTGACAGTAAAGTTACCCCTCGCCTCCAGTTAGTGTAAATGTGACAGTAAAAGTTACCCTCGCCTCAGTTAGTGTAAATGTGACAGTAAAAGTTACCCCTCGCCCAGTTAGTGTATGTGACAGTAAAAGTTACCCTCCGCCTCAGTTAGTGTAAATGTGACAGTAAAAGTTACCCCTCGCCTCAGTTAGTGTAAATGTGACAGTAAAAGTTACCCCTCGCCTCAGTTAGTGTAAATGTGACAGTAAAAGTTACCCCTTGCCTCAGTTAGTGTAAATGTGACAGTAAAAGTTACCCCTCTCCTTGCTAGTGTAAATGTGACAGTAAAAGTTATCCCTCCTCTCTTCAGTAGTGTAAATGTGACAGTAAAGTTACCCCTCTCTCCTTCAGAGTAAATGTGACAGTAAACGTTACCCCTCTCCTTCAGTGTAAATGTGACAGTAAAGTTACCCCTCTCAGTTAGTGTAAATGTGACAGTAAAAGTTACCCCTCGTCTCAGTTAGTGTAAATGTTACAGTAAAAGTTACCCCTCATGTCAGTGTAAATGTGACAGTAAAAGTTACCCCTTGCCTCAGTTAGTGTAAAAGTTACCCCTCGCCTCAGTTAGTGTAAATGTGACAGTAAAAGTTACCCCTTGCCTCAGTTAGTGTAAACGTTACCCCTCGCCTCAGTTAGTGTAAAAGTTACCCCTCGCCTCAGTTAGTGTAAAAGTTACCCCACTCCTTGCTGGTGTAAATGTGACAGTAAAAGTTATCCCTCCTCTCTTCAGTAGTGTAAAAGTTACCCCTCTCCTTGCTGGTTTAAATGTGACAGTAGAAGTGACCCCTCTCCTTGCTGGTGTAAATGTGACAGTAAAAGTTACCCTCTCCTTGGTAGTGTAAAGGTGACAGTAAAAGTTACCCCTCTCCTTGGTAGCGTACATGTGACAGTAAAAGTTACCTCTCTCCTTGGTAGATGTGGCAGTAAAAATTACAGTAAAAGTTGGTGTGTGTGACTGCTGGTGTACCCTTTGATGTAGCATACAAAACACTCTGGTACTAATCCTTCAGTATGGTTCTAATGTGATGATAACAGAAAATGCATTTCTAGTGTATGGCAGTGAATCAGCTTCTATTGCTAGCTTCTAACATGGTATCAGTCGTTAACCAAGCAGTTAAAGAATCATTTTGAAATTGCTCCAGAGTAGCATTGCTGCAATCATAATCAACATATCATGTGAATAATAATGCATTGCAGGACCGTGCCACAACTGGTTGGGTCTATTATTGTGAGGGGGTGCGCCTTTGTCAGTTGATTGTCATCATGTCCGAACAGCCGAGGCCAAGGTCGCCGTTTGACATCTCAGTGTTGAGAAATCGTCAGCAATGTACTAAGGTTCTTTAAAAAAGAACTACAGATGGTTTAATGTTTCCGATTCATGAAATAGAAAAAGTGAGAATTGAACTGGGTGTAGACAGTGATAGCGAGATCTGCAGGAAATACCTCCACGTCGACCTGTTATGTATCAGACATTCCAGTCGGCCACATAGACAGTGATTATAATTGTTATAATTACAATGCTCATAACTATCATACCATAACCCAACACCCACCTCCTGTACTGGAACCCCCGTACAAAGCTCACTATATGTAGTACCAGTTTCAGCTGTTAGGTTGTGTTTGATGGATCACAGATTTATTCTTGTTGAATCAGAAGTGGCATGGAAAATAAATCATTTTCGGCAACTTTGATTTTCAAAATCAATAACTGTCCAAAGACAAAACATTAGTCCAGGAGATCATTCCAGCAGTCTTTCAACCAATGACAAGGGACATAACTCTAGATTAATAAAGCACCAAATGTGCTATGAATGATATGTTTTTCAGAAATATAAATGTCAAAGCATATTGAGCATCATATTAATGTTACTGTTTTCTTTAAAGCCACTTGGTAATCCAGTCTTAGTGAACTTAGTATCAGTATTATTCGTTATACTGCTATACTGAGTCTAACAAACCCTAGTAGAAGGTCGCATCAGCTAACCTTTGAGCGACCTATGACCGTCCAATCAAACCTGAGACGGCCGAAAGGATTTACCAATCAGACAACGGCTACTATTTAGGGTTCGGCGGGACTTACCAAACGGTTTTTGGATTTTCTCTTCCCCAGTTGCTGACACTGACTCTCAACAAACGAAAATCCATAAAACACAGATATTTGACCTGCAGTATTTATGCTTAGGGGTTTCTGATGACGTGGTTACTATAAGATTTTATTTTCGCAAGATGACATCCTGGAATATTGACAAAAACGCTATTTTCAGTGACTGTTGACTCGCTGTTGTGAATAATGTGTCCTCCATGTGTAACACTCGGAAGTGATCGTGCAGAAAAATACATTCAGAATCGTTCGAGTTTTCGAGGTAAAAGTTCAAACGGTATGTGCGAATGTTAACTTTCGTGGTTTGGTAAGCTGTATGGTGATGGGTCAGTTCAAAAGGTTGGCAGCTGCGACCTTCTACTGGGGTTTGTTAGACTCAGTATAGCAGTGCAATGAATAATACTGAGGCTAAGTTTACATAGACTGCTTGGTAATCACAAATTATTCTTAAATATGTGATATCATACAAAATTATAATTATGAGATCTCCAGTTTTCATGAAAAGGTTGGAGAATATGTGATCATTCCAAAAAAGTTAATTTTGGTCTTAAGGCAAGTAACTCTGTATGTTCATGTTTGTCATCATGTCTAGTGAGTTGTGTACTATTTATGAAACAGATCTCATTCTGCTCAAGTTGACCTCGGAGGTTGGCTGTTACATATTCTTGTTACTTTGTTACACCAGTAGTGTGACCTGGAAGAGTTATTCACTCACATGATATTTTCAGTTTCATCCATGTGCCTGTGTGGAGACCATATTTCATTTACCACAGAAAACAATTGCTCTTGAGGATTTCCTATAAAATATTTATGTCAGTGAGGACTTGTGTTATTATTTTGAATGTCATATTCCAGCTATATGGTTGCGGTTGTTAAGTTTGACTCGTGGTAATAAAACACCGAGGCGAAGTTGCCAGGACATGTACTTTATTCCTCTCGCATGAGTGAACATCAACACAACCACGCCGGCCGGCACATGGTTCTTCACTGACCTCACTGACACCTTGCGCATGAGCATGCCTCTCACGCAAAGCTACTTCCTTTCCTCTCCAGTGCTCCAGCCACCTATACGTACACATACGTTAACAGCGGTCTGTATGTAATCGGGTGTGGACCAGACAATCCAGTGATCAACAGCATGAGCATCGATCTACGAAATTGGGAACCGATGACATGTGTCAACCAAGTCAGCGAGCCTGACCACCTGATCCCATTAGTTTACGACATGCATGGGTTGCTGAAGACCAATTCTAACACAGATCTTCACGGGTCTGCCTATTATAACAAGCATGGGTTGCTGAAGACCAATTCTAAGTGTGTGGCACAACTGGGGCATAGATGTTTGTGTGTCATACCAGTAAATCATAACTTTGTATCAGACTTCTGTGTTTGGCAAGTACATTGCCAGGAGTCAAGCTCACAAGATTAACTGTGGCCTGGTAGTTTCAGTGAATCAGCTGATTCTGCGACAAGGTAGACACGAGGATTCCAAGATAGACACCGCAGATTCCGAGGTAGACACACAACACTAACACAAGCTTCACCGTCACTGGTTTATGTACAAAATGCTGGTGACTGTATTTACAAGAATGGTTTGTCTAGACTCCTCTGGAGGTCAGCTGGTCGGGTCCTCGTCCGACGATGTGTCCGAGCTGTTTGCCGTCTGCACTTTCTATAAAACAGAGCACAGTTATATATATATATATATACTGAGGGATATAAATGTGTGGAACACAAGCAACAGGGATGAGAAACACCTGACTCAGCAAAATGAGTGAGTGAGTGAGTGAATTAGTTTCACGCTTTTAGCAATATTCCAACAATATCATGGTGCAGGACACCAGAAATGGGCTTCACACATTGCACAAGTGTGGGGAATCAAACCTGGGTCCTCGGCAGGACTAGCAAACACTTTAACCACTAGGCTACCTCTTCGCCCCTTCAGCAAAATGAAAGGCCAGACAAGCACAAGTTGATATCTTAGTTATTTGTTATTTTATTCATCTAATAATTTTCCATGCACTACAATAAAATATTTTCACTACAATATGGAATATTTCATCATTTTACATAATCTTAAGCTATTTAATATCAAGGATAGTAGTTTACATATAGTATATGTTGAATATATTTAAGAGCCGTTAATATGGCATTTGCTTCTGCTGTAAAAATAGAGCTGTTATTCTAGAAGAGTGAGTGAGTGAGTTTAGTTTTACGCCGCACTCAACAATATTCCAGCTATATGGAGGCAGTCTGTAAATACAGTCGAACCTGGACCAGACAATCCAGTGATCAATAGCATGAGCATCGATCTCATCAGTAGTATATATACACATCAAGGTCTGTAGCATGCTGAAATACAAACAGATATCCCTCGGTTCAAAACAGGTCAACCACATCTGATCATAATGTAACAACCACACTGAAATACAGACTTTGGTACAAGCAGTTTTCATACTTGTACATTTGAGATTCAGTCTGATTTTTTGGCTTCAGCTATTTAGGGTCCCAATAGATTAAAGCACACAAACAACCTCTGTTCTAATATGGCCCTTTCATGGTGTGAGTGTTCAGGATTTGTGATTGGTTGCAATCAGATTTAGTTGTACAATCAGCGACGACGTTCAAAAGTGATCATTTGCAAGGCCTCGGTAATTTCCGTATGCTTCGGGAAAACTAGAACCTTTTTTCTCCTGCACGATGCACAATCGTTTCTACTGGACAGAACTCAGACAGGTCATGGCGGATCAATGGCGTCTCCATCGCCCTCGTTGACAACGGACATGCTAGCTATTAAATGTCTTGCGTGTAACATCAACATAAGTCAGAGCAGGGATATTTGTGGCCCTACTTTCTATTGCTAGTTTCTAATTTTCAGTTAAACATGAAATACCAAAACTATCCTTCACATATTAATCAACTAACTCCATGGTGGACGCCATATTGGATCTAAGTCGATGTAACGTGTACTGATTGGATACAAAGAAGGGAGATAATTCGTGCTGCAATGTTTTGCCACCAGGAGATTATACGAGAACCAGGAAATATTGACCATATTAGAACAGAGGTTACGTGGGAAGATATGACTTGAGTAACCTCTGTGGGAAGAGAATGACAAACAAGTGGCATGACATATACTGGCCACATAAAGAAACTGTGCACACAGAAAATATAAATATAGGCACACAGCGTATTTATACATAAATACATTTGTGAACATAGCAAGTATTAGAGACATTCAAACGCTCATGCACTTGCCAGGCGACGTGACGTCATTGATGGTGGCCTAAGGCCTTGCAATGTGTTACTGCACGTGCAGCCCGTACAGAAACTCTGAAATTGCTGTCACTGTCGAAAGTTTGATCTTTGGTAACTCAAACGTTCACCAATTCACATGAGAAGTCACATGCACATCATGCCAAGATTAACATCTGCTCAACGGCATGAAGCCATTGGAATGGTTCGAGCAGGAATGAGCCAACAACAGGTGGCAGCACTTTCCAATGCCATCGTAACACAATATCTGCATGGGTCAGGCGTTATCGAAACAGTAATGACGTCGCCAACCACCCACGTTCTGGGCGTTCCCGACGTAACGATGCAAAGACAGAGCGGTGGATTCGGGTGACTCATCTCAGATACAGGTTCCAGACAGCAGTGACCATGCCCCAGACCATTTCCCAGGCCTCCAATGCTCATTTGGTAGCCTCTATGCGTCGTTGTTGCACTGCTGTGCTTCACGCACATGGTGGCCATACCCGTTACTGATTTTGTGACTTCGTCGTGTGACCCCCTCCTCGATTTTGAACTTCTGACGTCATCGTTACGGATATTGTTCATGTTCTTTTGACATTTTCTTGTGGTCCGATACTTCAGCTTATAAAGTGTCTACATCATTTCGTCTTTGCTGTGTTGTATTCCAATTCTGAAGGCATTTTCTGTGTGCACAGTTTCTTTATGTGGCTAGTATAGTTCATCTACTATTATGCAAACCTAATATGGGGGACTGAGGATTCACCACAGAGTTGAACATATGGAAGTCTGTTACGTTGATCATACCAGGTGCAAGAGATCCATGAGCTTGTAGGGGTCCTCCCCGGCTGCCAGGTCGACGAAGTCCCTGGGCATGGCGTAGTACGCGTAGGGGTTGGGCTGAACTCCATCCCTGCTCTTCAGGAACCGGAACTCAGGACGCTGTGAAGGAAACAACCAGAGATCACATGACAACATGATGTCATCAGTATAGGCAAGGCTATCAAATCATAATAGATTTAAACAACAAGACATGGTCATCAATATCCCCCGCCAGTCATCTGTTCCTATTTGGTTCCTGTTTTTTCATCTCCACCACGACATTCATGTCCTCAAAACACATACCACATTTGGTTTCCCTATCTATAACAGCTACTGAGAAAATCTGTTCCCATTAGGGACACCATGCACTAAGTCAAGAAGCGCACGACAAGGGCCATAACTCTGTAACAAATTGTTATGCGGTTTCCATTTTTGAACTCCATCAAGGCATTCATGTCCTGAAAACACATACCAAATTTGGTTTCCCTATCTATAACGTTTTTTGAAATAATCTGTCCCCATCATCTCGGATGGACAGATGGACACACAGACAGACGGATGGAGCTCAAACCAATATCTCTGTTCCACTTCATGGCGGGGTATAATGATATTAAAGTCAGCCATACATCCCCACTCACTCTCTGTATCACTTCCTTTGACTGAGAACGTGCAAGCAAACAAAGATTATTCCTCTTGTAACATATGTTACACATGTATATGGGATAAGACTAAGGTATAGATTCTAGCATGTTTTGGTAGATACTCCTAGGCCAAATGTAGAGATAACATCATTATCAGGTAATATGATACACCAGGCCTTATCACCCATACTGCATATCCTGATCATGTTGAACATCAGTGCTTGTCACCGTCCATTAAACCATGCAGTTAATACTCATGCAGTTGGTCTATGAACATGTGGACACTGTTTCAACAGCGGGGTAATCCTTGTTTGTTTTCAGCAACCTGATACATTCTGTGTCTAGTTCCACATTGAAAGAACCTCTGGAGGGTGGGAGTTGTCATACCAATTACTGGATAACGCTTTTACTGCTGCTGAGAGATCCTAAAAGATAGGGACTTTTCTAACATTTGGCCTAGGACTATAGAGTCCCATCCGGGTTTCGACTTTCACAGACTGCTGACTTTGTGTGCTGGCAATTAGGCCTCTGAGAGTGAGGGGTGAAATCACATATGGGACTCAACCTTAAACATACTAGAATCTGTACTTTAGTGAGTGGGTGTAATCCCAAATATAACACATGTTACAAGACATAAAATATTTTGTATTTCTTGAATACATATGTTACATCTGACCACTTTCTAAATGGCACTGTGTATTAACAGATTATCCCTTGTTTCCAAAACCCGATTACACCAGTACGACAGGCACATTTATCATCTGTACATAATGTCTGACCTCAGCCTTGAGTTCTCCACTGTCATTGGCCAGTTCATCCCACGTAAACAGCAGGGGGAGTCCGTCACCTTGCCGAACGGGTTGAAGTCAACCAGTGTAAGGTGTCCCTGAAACAGACGAGGAACATGTTTCAAAGTCTTCTGAGCACAAGATCTTGAAAATTTGTTTCAGTGTTTAACCAACTTTTGTTGGTCTAAATTTTGTTTCTTTAACCATTCTACGATTTCAATATGTATCCCAATGGCAGCCTCCAGAAATGGGCTTCACACATTGTGCCCATGTGGGGAATCGAACCCGGGTCTTTGGCGTGACGAGCGAAAACATTAACCACTATGCTACCCTACCGCCTGCACAACACAGACCTCATGAACAACCATACTAAGCTAGCCTTACCGTCCAATGACAAACCATCCCTTCCTCATTGGAAAGGTGAGGCTATAATTATCCTATTCTCTTCCATTGTAGACATTGTTCCAGACGACTTACCTTGTCTCTCCTGTACACATCAAAAACATCTGAAAAAATAGAAAGAACATGATAGATGACACCTATACAAGATCTCAGATGATTTGAATGTTATATTATCTCAGCAATATCTGTCTTCTAAATACTACTGACCCGTGAAGATACGGGTTAGAATTGATCTTCAGTAACCCTTGCTTGTCGTAAGAGGCGACCAACGGGATCAGGTGGTCAGTTTCGCTGACTTGGTTGACACATGTCATCGTATCCTAATTGAGTAGATCAATGCTCATGCTGTTGACCATTGGATTGTCTGGTCCAGACTCGATTATTTACAGACCGCCGCCATATAGCTGGAATATTGCTGAGTGTAGCGTAAAACTAAACTCACTCACTCTAAATATACCCGTGAAAGTCTGGGTTAGAATATGATCTTCAGTAAATTGTCGTAAGAGGCGACAAAAGGGATCAGGTGGTCAAGCTCGCTGACTTGGTGGACACGTCATTGGTTCCCAATTGCGTAGATCAGTGCTCATGCTTTTGATCATTGAATTGTCTGGTTCAGACTCGATTATTTACAGACCGCCGCCATATAGCTGGACTCACTCACTCTAAATACTACTGCCTGTGATCTGTAAGTTATAAACCAACAGGTAGCTGAGTCCCCAAGTTTCAGGTGGTGAATGTACACAGTAACAACAGCCCGTTCGATTTCATTTGAGACCGATGAATTGCTCACCAACACAAAATCTAATAATTGCAACAATACAAATTTTGCACAGTCACATGAAAAATCGATGGACCAACTCAGATGATTTGTCTCATAATTTTGGACACCTGAATAAAAAAGTTGTCTGACAAACAGTCATTATTTTGTTGTCACTTTTCGCTATTTCTTACAAGGGGGGACCACTTGCTGGTAGAACAGCCAGGTAATCAACAAGCGTGTGTAGTGAAATTGCAAATTAACACGAGTAACTCACACACCTGTCTGTTCCACCAGCAAGTGGTACCCCCTCTTATTAGATTTTGAGTTAGTGAGCAATTCATCAGTCTCAAATGAAATCAAACGGACTGTAACCATGGTAACCATATACTTTATCCACTAGACACAGGGGACCGTCTCCCGTACGTTACATCCTCTACCATTAATGATGGAGACAGTATTTTAAACATATAAATCAGTATGGGAATTTTCCCAAACCTCAGAACCAGGTTTGTGAATGTTACTTACAGTCCTCATCAGGGAATTTATTGGAGATCATGTGATAGAAGAACGCCTGGATGTCATTGATGATCTCATCCTTCTGACTCTCCAGGAAGGCGTAGTACTGGATGTGATGTCTCTGAGATATAGCTGCAAAATTAGAACATCAAAACCGTTAATACTACTGTGAATATTTTAATAACCAAAGAGTGTAATAACAGGACTACTTGCACGTTTGTTCATTCAGTTTTTGTCTTTCTGTTCATTCCTTCATTTTTCTACCTGTGAAAATCCTGGTCTTCAGCCACCCATGCTTGCCGTAAAAGGCGACTGACAGGATCATGTGGTCAGACCCGTTGACTTGTCTGAGGCATGACAGTGTATGCCAGTTGAGCAGATGAATGCTCATGATGTCAATCACTGGATTGTCTGGTGAGACTTGATTATTTACAGACAGTCGTCATATTGTTGGAAAATTGCTGAGCAAGAACGAAACCAATACAAAACAAACTTTCATTCATATTTGCATATTTCTACACAGCTGTATTTTTCTCTGTGCATGATACTGCTTGTCGTAAGAGACGACTAACGGGATCTGGTGGTCAGGCTCGCTGACTTGGTTGACACATGTCATCGGTTCCCAATTGCGCAGATCTATACTCATGCTGTTGATCACTGGATTGTCTGGTCCAGACTCGATTATTTACAGACCGCAGCCATATAGCTGGAATATTGCTGAGTGTGGCATAAAACTACTCACTCACTCACTATGCATGATACTCAATAAAACATGGAAGGTAATTTGCCTGTAGCCACAGGAAGCAGGGGCTGGTCCCAGTATCCCATGTTTATTGTGCCCTAAGACAAAAGTAAATCGAGAGAGTCAGATTCTGTGATTTGGCTGCAGGTGTCATTCTGCTCCACTGAGATGGACCATCACTCATGTTATCAATCACTGGTTTGCTCGTCCAGTTTTGATTGTTTACAACATATATCTGGAAGTATTCTTGATTGTGGTGTTGAGGCATCAGACAAACGACATGTGATAATACTGGGATGTAAAGATTCAGTCGCAAGAACCAGGGATGAAGTAAACCTGGGTTGTACTTTTCATCCAACTCCTTTTATCCAGACAAAGTCCTACTTTTATCCAGCACACACTTTCTCCTACACCTACAGTTTCATACACAAAGACTTTAAAAAATCATCAACATACAGTGTCCTTTTTCCCTTCAATAGAGGATACAAGAGTAAATTAACAAGTATTTCAGCTGTATCACAGCATATGATTTATATGCACTAGAAACCCTAGGATGCAGAATCATTATCAAGTGACCCTAAGACTTCGAACCATAGCAGATCCTGGCATGAGTAAGGGATGCAACTCAGCACCGCAGACGTCTGCTGCATGATTCATCAAACAAAAATTTACCTACCAATTAGTTTTTTGTTCCGGACAAAACACCTGAACTCCATGCCTGGCTGGAGGTCCTGCCATCGCCTCAGGATCAGGTCATACTTGACGTCTGCTCGCGCTGCCTCAAGGTCACAGTCCGAACAATGGTGAAATCTGGAAACAAGCAGTCCTTTAAACTTTGTACTTACAACTTCCTCCAACACAGGGACAAATGAAAACAGATTCTCGAACTGTTGATGTATTGAAACCAACTTTAGACCGAATTTAGATACATCCATTGTAAAATGGTACTCTTTTTTTTTGCCTCAAGATCAAAGTATCATATTTCAGGGCCCAACCTTCATTGTCAATGTACTAATTAAAACCCAGATAGATGTATTTCTTAAAAATACATCATAACAGGAACAATCACCATTATTATCATAAATGATCATCGTAAATCAAACGACTAATGTTATCTGCAAGTAAAATAGCATTCACACATATCTGGGTATGAACAGACAACAGAAGAGAGAGAATTCAACTGACCACTGAAACACATGTGAATGAGTGAGTACTGTTTCAGCAATTTTCTAGGAATATCATACTTTGAGATAATAGAAACAAGTTCCACAGGAATCAAACTCCACCTTTGGCATAGAGAGCAAAGACTCTAATCACTAGGCTACCCCACCCTGACACGTGTAAATATGAACAACAAAACTCACGGTTGTGACAGATCATGTGCGATGAAATCAGAACTCTTCAACAGAAGGTAGATATCGCTGGGACATGTGCACTTCAGGGTTTTATCGAACGAGATCCACGTGGCATCCTGCAACACAACGATGGGGAGATTTCATATACACACCTAGCCACTGCCACAACATTTAAACTGAATTAAAATGACGGGCTTTTTTTTAAAAAAAGTTAAAGAATGTTAAAAATCAAGACTTAAATAGTAAACTTAGCATATTTTTTTCTGATTTGGTTAATTCAAATGTTTTTGGTGCTCAACTTAGTTGATTATCACATATAATGTCTGAGGAATGTTAAAATATTTGCTAAAAATTAAGGCAGTTCAATTAGGGAAGGTTGAGTTGATATATTAGTAGTTAAGATACAAATATGTGGTATTATAACTTGTATTATAGAAAACAACTTCTTCCATGTACATGTGTCAGGGCTACTTCCTGTCCCTTCCTCTAGTACCTGTGAAGGTCCAGGTTAGATCTTCAGTAACCCATGTTTGTCATAAGACGCAACTAACGGGACCGGGTGGTCAGGCTCACTGACTTGGTTGATACATGTCATCATGTCTGTATACCCAGGTGATGAATCGAACCCGGGTTTTTGGCATGATGAGAAAACGCTTTAACCACTAGGCTACCCCTCCCGCCCCATGATAAAGAGATATGATGGAGTATCTCTATATGAGACAGGTCATCTGCAACCATGGGCAGTATGTAAGAAAGACCAGAAATGACTTCATGAAGTCACATGATCTAACCAGGGACAAGCCCCACGATAAAGAGATATGCATGAGTTACCAGTGACATGGCCTACAACAAGAGATGGAGCTGGACAGACAAGTCATTTTACCAGTGACTGGTGTTAGAAGACCCTGGAAACCCTGCAAACTTTGTTTCAGGTCGTTTCCATTGGACAAATAAATTAGGGGAAAGTGCTTAATGTGAGATAGGATAACTTTAAAGGTCACATGCAACGTAAAACACAACTTTGCAGATTCTGATACCTTTCGGTATGGACTTACCGAAACAAATCATCAAAAATGCAAATTCACTAATTTTCCCCCGACTTTTCTGGGGAAAACGGGTTTCAACAGCTGGGCTGCGTTTATAGCACATGCGCAGTGAAGTAGGTTCGCGCAGCTTGGAAACGGTTGTCCGTAGAATACTCGGTGAAGGCTTTGGTGTGAGCTATTTTTCTAATGTTTTGTTGATATCTCACAGGCGCGAGCTTTTTATACGTTATGACAGTAGATTGCCGATTTAACTGTTTATATAATTTCATTTGTCTATTTCACCACACGTTCTTCTTACCGAGTCACTTTCTCAGTTCGATACTTAAAAGCAATGCCATTATTTAGAGTTGACAGAATTTCCAACTGTGATATAGATATGTCGTTGTCACAGACTAAACTCAATGTCTTGTTTTATTGACACCAGTGTGTCTGCCTGCCTGTCTGCTAATGACAATATTCAATACACAGCTGCGATCACTGACCACATGCAATTTGAACTTAACACCAATCAGGCTATACACCATAAACAAAATGCATTGATTTATGGCCCGAGTTTGGTCTCTGTCACATTATGTAATTACACAAACAGGCAGGTGTGATACTTGAACACATGACATGATATGATGTCTGTTGATTGCAAAATGTTATACACAAAAAATGAGCATGTATTTACAAAACCCAACATCTCTATATATACACACACAATGACACGTGAGGGCATCTGCAAATGAACCAGCCGTTACACTTGAGTGCACACCCACACGCTCTGACTGGGTTCGGTATCCCGGCTGCTTCGTTTCTTGGGAAGTAAACCGAAGGACACAATATTGCACTTTTGATTTGCGATTGTACGCTTATAATTTTGTTTATATGTTTTTTCATAACCAGCCATGTATATTATATGTCATGAATAAGTGATAATTGTGTTTTAATTATGTTTGATTTTTTGGTTGCATGTGACCTTTAACAATAATTTTTTATTCATAAATCTCCATAATGAGAACCAATTGCTAAATACCTAAGATTCTCTTAAGCCCATGTGTATTGTCACAATTCTTAGAAGTGATCATCTCCACAAAAGATTGAATTCAGCTAAAACGTGCCCCATTCCTACACAAGGTACATCTAAGCCATGATTCCTTGTCGCGAGTAGGTTCTTCTGCTTATAGGGGTGATGGGGTAGAGTAGTGGTTAAAGCATTTGATCTTCCCTTAGAAGACCTGGGTTCGATTTCCCACATGGGTACAATATGTGAAGCCCATTTCCGTCCAGTAACATAATATCGCTGGAATATCGCAAAAAGTTGGGGTAAACACAAACTCACTCTTCTCTGTGTAACTTTTATCTGAGACACTGACTTACCCGTGGGGCGCTCCAGTTGAGTTTGGGGAACACTCTCCCCCCTAGTTTCTGTATGGCTTTTTTCACCTGCCTCTCAAACTCAGGGAACTCTGGCGCCTGGACACAGGAAATGGTCAGAACAATTATTACCAAAATCGTGCTGCCATATCACTTCCAGGGATTTTACTAGTGTTTCATACAGTTACCCTTGGCAGATAAATTGTGAGAACAATGTCTTTTGTTCAAAATGCAGACTAGTTCCCGCAAAACTAAAGAGTAAAATTATACCCTGACATCATTAAAACCTCTTCTTATGTACCAGGGTGCATTGTACAAAACAATCTTAGCTCTAACATGATCGTAACTCTCATACCTTAACATGGACTTAAAATAGCCCACACTAAGGTTGTTTTATAAAATGGCACCCAGTTCTTCAGTGAAATACAAGTTACTTCTGTAAAACAATACATGGAAACAACAAAATTCCAATCTGAGAATTCTCACTGACAATAGCTTCATATTATTCATGGACAGAATATTGGTTTCGAGCAAGTCTAGATACACCCCAGGGCCTCGTTTCACACAGCTCTCGTTGCTCTACGACTGTCGTAAGTCAATGTTACAGTATAGGAAGTACGAATACTACGAGAAAAGTTACAAGATCTTAGGCTTACGAGAGCTTTGTGAAACAGGGCCGAGGTCTCTATTCTGGGAAATCTCCATCTTCATAAATTTTTCATTTGTTTATATCAGAAACCATCACTTGTAACAGAACAACACTGCCTTATACCACTTAACACAAAACAATGACCTTAAATTTTTAGAAGTGATCCAAATAAAGGCAAGGATTTATGGATGTCAACTTCTTTATTTTTAGGAAGACAATATTTCGCAGTATATTCTTACTCCATCATCATTCACCTGATGAAGGAGTAAGAATATTCTCCTAAACAGTGTGTTTCTCAAAATATAGAAGTTGACATTCATAAATTCTCACCCGTTCACCTGACATTGCTAGCAGTAGTGACAATGAACTTGATGATCTTTATAGAGAACAGCTGTGTTAGTTCACACAATGAACTTGATGATCTTTATAGAGAACAGCTGTGTTAGTTCACACAATGAACATGATGATCTTTATAGAGAACAGCTGTGTTAGTTCACACAATGAACATGATGATCTTTATAGAGAACAGCTGTGTTAGTTCACACAATGAACTTGATGATCTTTATAGAGAACAGCTGTGTTAGTTCACACAATGAACTTGATGATCTTTATAGAGAACAGCTGTGTTAGTTCACACAATGAACATGATGATCTTTATAGAGAACAGCTGTGTTAGTTCACACAATGAACATGATGATCTTTTATAGAGAACAGCTGTGTTAGTTCACACAATGAACATGATGATCTTTATAGAGAACAGCTGTGTTAGTTCACACAATGAACATGATGATCTTTATAGAGAACAGCTGTGTTAGTTCACACAATGAACATGATGATCTTTATAGAGAACAGCTGTGTTAGTTCACACAATGAACATGATGATCTTTATAGAGAACAGCTGTGTTAGTTCACACAATGAACATGATGATCTTTATAGAGAACAGCTGTGTTAGTTCACACAATGAACATGATGATCTTTATAGAGAACAGCTGTGTTAGTTCACACAATGAACATGATGATCTTTATAGAGAACAGCTGTGTTAGTTCACACAATGAACATGATGATCTTTATAGAGAACAGCTGTGTTAGTTCACACAATGAACTTGATGATCTTTATAGAGAACAGCTGTGTTAGTTCACACAATGAACATGATGATCTTTATAGAGAACAGCTGTGTTAGTTCACACAATGAACATGATGATCTTTATAGAGAACAGCTGTGTTAGTTCACACAATGAACATGATGATCTTTATAGAGAACAGCTGTGTTAGTTCACACAATGAACATGATGATCTTTATAGAGAACAGCTGTGTTAGTTCACACAATGAACATGATGATCTTTATAGAGAACAGCTGTGTTAGTTCACACAATGAACATGATGATCTTTATAGAGAACAGCTGTGTTAGTTCACACAATGAACTTGATGATCTTTATAGAGAACAGCTGTGTTAGTTCACACAATGAACATGATGATCTTTATAGAGAACAGCTGTGTTAGTTCACACAATGAACTTGATGATCTTTATAGAGAACAGCTGTGTTAGTTCACACAATGAACATGATGATCTTTATAGAGAACAGCTGTGTTAGTTCACACAATGAACATGATGATCTTTATAGAGAACAGCTGTGTTAGTTCACACAATGAACATGATGATCTTTATAGAGAACAGCTGTGTTAGTTCACACAATGAACATGATGATCTTTATAGAGAACAGCTGTGTTAGTTCACACAATGAACATGATGATCTTTATAGAGAACAGCTGTGTTAGTTCACACAATGAACTTGATGATCTTTATAGAGAACAGCTGTGTTAGTTCACACAATGAACATGATGATCTCTTTATAGAGAACAGCTGTGTTAGTTCACACAATGAACATGATGATCTTTATAGAGAACAGCTGTGTTAGTTCACACAATGAACTTGATGATCTTTATAGAGAACAGCTGTGTTAGTTCACACAATGAACATGATGATCTTTATAGAGAACAGCTGTGTTAGTTCACACAATGAACTTGATGATCTTTATAGAGAACAGCTGTGTTAGTTCACACAATGAACATGATGATCTTTATAGAGAACAGCTGTGTTAGTTCACACAATGAACTTGATGATCTCTTTATAGAGAACAGCTGTGTTAGTTCACACAATGAACTTGATGATCTTTATAGAGAACAGCTGTGTTAGTTCACACACAATGAACATGATGATCTCTTTATAGAGAACAGCTGTGTTAGTTCACACAATGAACATGATGATCTTTATAGAGAACAGCTGTGTTAGTTCACACAATGAACTTGATGATCTTTATAGAGAACAGCTGTGTTAGTTCACACAATGAACATGATGATCTTTATAGAGAACAGCTGTGTTAGTTCACACAATGAACATGATGATCTTTATAGAGAACAGCTGTGTTAGTTCACACAATGAACATGATGATCTTTATAGAGAACAGCTGTGTTAGTTCACACAATGAACATGATGATCTTTATAGAGAACAGCTGTGTTAGTTCACACAATGAACATGATGATCTTTATAGAGAACAGCTGTGTTAGTTCACACAATGAACTTGATGATCTTTATAGAGAACAGCTGTGTTAGTTCACACAATGAACATGATGATCTTTATAGAGAACAGCTGTGTTAGTTCACACAATGAACATGATGATCTTTATAGAGAACAGCTGTGTTAGTTCACACAATGAACATGATGATCTTTATAGAGAACAGCTGTGTTAGTTCACACAATGAACATGATGATCTTTATAGAGAACAGCTGTGTTAGTTCACACAATGAACATGATGATCTTTATAGAGAACAGCTGTGTTAGTTCACACAATGAACATGATGATCTTTATAGAGAACAGCTGTGTTAGTTCACACAATGAACATGATGATCTTTATAGAGAACAGCTGTGTTAGTTCACACAATGAACTTGATGATCTTTATAGAGAACAGCTGTGTTAGTTCACACAATGAACATGATGATCTTTATAGAGAACAGCTGTGTTAGTTCACACAATGAACATGATGATCTTTATAGAGAACAGCTGTGTTAGTTCACACAATGAACATGATGATCTTTATAGAGAACAGCTGTGTTAGTTCACACAATGAACATGATGATCTTTATAGAGAACAGCTGTGTTAGTTCACACAATGAACATGATGATCTTTATAGAGAACAGCTGTGTTAGTTCACACAATGAACATGATGATCTTTATAGAGAACAGCTGTGTTAGTTCACACAATGAACATGATGATCTTTATAGAGAACAGCTGTGTTAGTTCACACAATGAACATGATGATCTTTATAGAGAACAGCTGTGTTAGTTCACACAATGAACATGATGATCTTTATAGAGAACAGCTGTGTTAGTTCACACAATGAACATGATGATCTTTATAGAGAACAGCTGTGTTAGTTCACACAATGAACATGATGATCTTTATAGAGAACAGCTGTGTTAGTTCACACAATGAACTTGATGATCTTTATAGAGAACAGCTGTGTTAGTTCACACAATGAACTTGATGATCTTTATAGAGAACAGCTGTGTTAGTTCACACAATGAACTTGATGATCTTTATAGAGAACAGCTGTGTTAGTTCACACAATGAACTTGATGATCTTTATAGAGAACAGCTGTGTTAGTTCACACAATGAACTTGATGATCTTTATAGAGAACAGCTGTGTTAGTTCACACAATGAACTTGATGATCTTTATAGAGAACAGCTGTGTTAGTTCACACAATGAACTTGATGATCTTTATAGAGAACAGCTGTGTTAGTTCACACAATGAACATGATGATCTTTATAGAGAACAGCTGTGTTAGTTCACACAATGAACATGATGATCTTTATAGAGAACAGCTGTGTTAGTTCACACAATGAACATGATGATCTTTATAGAGAACAGCTGTGTTAGTTCACACAATGAACATGATGATCTTTATAGAGAACAGCTGTGTTAGTTCACACAATGAACATGATGATCTTTATAGAGAACAGCTGTGTTAGTTCACACAATGAACTTGATGATCTTTATAGAGAACAGCTGTGTTAGTTCACACAATGAACTTGATGATCTTTATAGAGAACAGCTGTGTTAGTTCACACAATGAACATGATGATCTTTATAGAGAACAGCTGTGTTAGTTCACACAATGAACATGATGATCTTTATAGAGAACAGCTGTGTTAGTTCACACAATGAACATGATGATCTTTATAGAGAACAGCTGTGTTAGTTCACACAATGAACATGATGATCTTTATAGAGAACAGCTGTGTTAGTTCACACAATGAACATGATGATCTTTATAGAGAACAGCTGTGTTAGTTCACACAATGAACTTGATGATCTTTATAGAGAACAGCTGTGTTAGTTCACACAATGAACATGATGATCTTTATAGAGAACAGCTGTGTTAGTTCACACAATGAACATGATGATCTTTACAGAGAACAGCTGTGTTAGTTCACACAATGAACATGATGATCTTTATAGAGAACAGCTGTGTTAGTTCACACAATGAACATGATGATCTTTATAGAGAACAGCTGTGTTAGTTCACAATAATGAACATGATGATCTTTATAGAGAACAGCTGTGTTAGTTCACACAATGAACTTGATGATCTTTATAGAGAACAGCTGTGTTAGTTCACACAATGAACATGATGATCTTTATAGAGAACAGCTGTGTTAGTTCACACAATGAACATGATGATCTTTATAGAGAACAGCTGTGTTAGTTCACACAATGAACATGATGATCTTTACAGAGAACAGCTGTGTTAGTTCACACAATGAACATGATGATCTTTATAGAGAACAGCTGTGTTAGTTCACACAATGAACATGATGATCTTTATAGAGAACAGCTGTGTTAGTTCACACAATGAACATGATGATCTTTATAGAGAACAGCTGTGTTAGTTCACACAATGAACTTGATGATCTTTATAGAGAACAGCTGTGTTAGTTCACACAATGAACTTGATGATCTTTATAGAGAACAGCTGTGTTAGTTCACACAATGAACTTGATGATCTTTATAGAGAACAGCTGTGTTAGTTCACACAATGAACTTGATGATCTTTATAGAGAACAGCTGTGTTAGTTCACACAATGAACTTGATGATCTTTATAGAGAACAGCTGTGTTAGTTCACACAATGAACTTGATGATCTTTATAGAGAACAGCTGTGTTAGTTCACACAATGAACTTGATGATCTTTATAGAGAACAGCTGTGTTAGTTCACACAATGAACATGATGATCTTTATAGAGAACAGCTGTGTTAGTTCACACAATGAACTTGATGATCTTTATAGAGAACAGCTGTGTTAGTTCACACAATGAACATGATGATCTTTATAGAGAACAGCTGTGTTAGTTCACACAATGAACATGATGATCTTTATAGAGAACAGCTGTGTTAGTTCACACAATGAACATGATGATCTTTATAGAGAACAGCTGTGTTAGTTCACACAATGAACATGATGATCTTTATAGAGAACAGCTGTGTTAGTTCACACAATGAACATGATGATCTTTATAGAGAACAGCTGTGTTAGTTCACACAATGAACATGATGATCTTTATAGAGAACAGCTGTGTTAGTTCACACAATGAACATGATGATCTTTATAGAGAACAGCTGTGTTAGTTCACACAATGAACATGATGATCTTTATAGAGAACAGCTGTGTTAGTTCACACAATGAACATGATGATCTTTATAGAGAACAGCTGTGTTAGTTCACACAATGAACATGATGATCTTTATAGAGAACAGCTGTGTTAGTTCACACAATGAACATGATGATCTTTATAGAGAACAGCTGTGTTAGTTCACACAATGAACATGATGATCTTTATAGAGAACAGCTGTGTTAGTTCACACAATGAACTTGATGATCTTTATAGAGAACAGCTGTGTTAGTTCACACAATGAACTTGATGATCTTTATAGAGAACAGCTGTGTTAGTTCACACAATGAACATGATGATCTTTATAGAGAACAGCTGTGTTAGTTCACACAATGAACATGATGATCTTTATAGAGAACAGCTGTGTTAGTTCACACAATGAACTTGATGATCTTTATAGAGAACAGCTGTGTTAGTTCACACAATGAACATGATGATCTTTATAGAGAACAGCTGTGTTAGTTCACACAATGAACATGATGATCTTTATAGAGAACAGCTGTGTTAGTTCACACAATGAACTTGATGATCTTTATAGAGAACAGCTGTGTTAGTTCACACAATGAACATGATGATCTTTATAGAGAACAGCTGTGTTAGTTCACACAATGAACATGATGATCTTTATAGAGAACAGCTGTGTTAGTTCACACAATGAACATGATGATCTTTATAGAGAACAGCTGTGTTAGTTCACACAATGAACATGATGATCTTTATAGAGAACAGCTGTGTTAGTTCACACAATGAACTTGATGATCTTTATAGAGAACAGCTGTGTTAGTTCACACAATGAACATGATGATCTTTATAGAGAACAGCTGTGTTAGTTCACACAATGAACTTGATGATCTTTATAGAGAACAGCTGTGTTAGTTCACACAATGAACATGATGATCTTTATAGAGAACAGCTGTGTTAGTTCACACAATGAACATGATGAACTTTATAGAGAACAGCTGTGTTAGTTCACACAATGAACATGATGATCTTTATAGAGAACAGCTGTGTTAGTTCACACAATTAAAACATGATGATCTTTATAGAGAACAGCTGTGATAGTTCACACAATGAACATGATGATCTTTATAGAGAACAGCTGTGTTAGTTCACACAATGAACATGATGAACTTTATAGAGAACAGCTGTGTTAGTTCACACAATGAACATGTGTGGCATTAATCAAATCATTAAAAATCCTTTAAGAGTCTAAATTTATAGGAAAGTCATACAAGCTGTGTTGATTGTGTTGCATTTGGAGTATTTGACAGACCCATACATCGAGGCCCTGTACACAGGGTAAGTACAGTGCCCCTGTGTGCAGAGGATGGATACCTACCACTGCTACAGCTGTACTGCCTGACCCCCAGTCAACGTCCTGGACAAACAAACAACAGCATGGCGTTAGTTCATCTTGTGTGAGACTGGGCCAACAAATGTCATGACATCATAACATGTAGTGAGTGAGTTTAGTTTTACGCCGCACTCAGCAATATGCCAGCTATATGACGACAGTCTGTAAATAATCGTGTCTCGACCAGACAATCAAGTGATCAACAGCATGAACATCGATCTACGCGATTGGGATACGATGACATGTGTCAACCAAGTCAGAGAGTCTGACCACCCGATCCCGTTAGTCGCCTCTTACGACAAGCATGAGTTACTGAAGATCAATTCTAACCCAGATCTTCACGGGTCATAACATGTAGTGTAATATATAAACAATCCAGTCATGACATTATCATGCTCTGTGCAATGTCATGTGAACAAACTTCATGCTAGAAAATGTCATGATATCATCCAACATTGTGGAATGTCAAGTAAAGAAATGTACTGATGTCATATAAATACTGTGTAATGCCAGGAAACAAACATCATAATGTCATCAAATACTATGTAATGCCAGGAAAACAGATGTCATAATGTCATCGGGGGCACATGGGTACAATGTGTGAAGCCCATTTCTGGAGTCCCCCCCGCCGTGATATTGCTACAAGCGGCGTAAAACCAAACTCACTCACTCACTCATAATGTCATCATATAGTGTGTAATGTATACAAATATAGGCTAAAAAGACATGATCTCATCACGTATTTTGTTATGTCATGAAAACAACATCACTTACAATCAATCACAAGTAGTGTCAAAACACAATAAAAACCTCCTTTTACACACTAAGGATTATCATGACTATCACGGTTAACTCACATCATCATCATCATCATTTTCATCTTCAGGTCTTGATTGTGAGCTCCCCTGTACTGAGCTGTAAACAGAACAATAATAATAATAATAGTGGATATTTGTAAAGCGCCAGTGTCCACCCACTCATGCATGCTCATGGCGCATTAAAACTATTTACAGAAGAAGGGAAAATGTCAATTATAGGCATTAGCAAAAAAGGAATGTCTTTAGGGCCTCCTTAAAAATGGAACACATTATCCACACAGGTCTAAACACAGTTGCCATGGTTACTCAAAACATAATTAAGTTGCAACAGTTTATCTGACAATAGTGAAATGAGCAAAATGGATGAATTGATGTTTGATGATCAAACTCAGGACAAAGAAAAAGAAATGTATTTATGTGAGTTAGCTTTATTTAGCTAAATCGGTTTATGGTCAGTGCCAGGTCGTAACTACTTGTACTAGCAACTATCACACAACTCTTGTTTACAAACATTCCCTTCCCTCATTATTCCGCCGAACAATAATACTACAATAATACTACCTAGTGCAGTCATGATGTCACGATATATTATCAGCTGCCATTCTGTCCCCCTCCCCCACAAATCTTAACGGTAGGTTTCCACAGTGAACAACATTGTACATGTATAATCACATAAATTTGCTTTCAATGTATCATTCTCCTTGCTTCCATGGGGGAGTGACAGCCACAGTATCATTCCTTTGGGTCCAGTCTGACAAGCACAGGGACAGATTGACCAACGATAGGGTCTGTAATTTGTATGGGGGTCTAAGGTAGGACTGCGGCTTATTGCCCCCGCTTGCATCATCCACACTGTGCCCATTATATCCCACAAATCATTGTTGTTGATTTTGTTGTTGTTTATCTTTACTTCCATGGCAGTCTGGCCATAATAATCATGATAATGTGTCAGATCCATTCAAGAGTCAGCTCATGGTACTACATCACCCATGGGATCAGTGTAAACTCAAATTTCATTCTCACCTCCCCAGAATTTATACAATTCAATGAGGCACCAGAAATTTTACAGTCTCCATACCACCTTGACCTCAGTGAACAGAACATATGACAGCATGTGGCAGGACCAATGCAACAGCCCAGATAGCATTTGGACATTGGCCCAACGTTGGCCAAACCATTGCCAACGAGATAACTCTGAACGCTATCTGGGAGAGACTCTCAGGGGATTTAGGGTACAAAAAACACCACAGAAGACAATGTCAGTGCTACTCACCCCTCTGGCAATACAACGCCATCCTTGTGAAGGTAGTCTATGAATTCTTGTGGCAAAGGCAACACCACACTGAAAGACCAAACATCAGACCACTGAGGAAATGCTGGGATATGAATACATTTACATATATAAAGCCAAACTTGTGAATGGTTATTTATCACATCTTTTAACTATTGAACACTTGATATCGTGAATGATGTCAAAATTGGATACAATTACATCATCTAAACTTCAACGCTGTTTAGAAAATGATATTTATTGGATTCTTTCAATTAAAAATTAAATTAAATTAAATAAAAAATCGTTATCCCGATATCATACAACCTAAAAAATACTTGAAAGAAAAGACACATGACCAACCAGATATTGAAATACTTTGCGGGGTTTTACACATAAAACACTTTCTATCATACAATTTCAGTCAATCATAACCGAACACCGAAAGCCGTCAAGGCGAAAATCTCCCTGTTTACCTTTTGATCGTAAGATCTTTGAATTTGTCATACCAAGACGAGAAGCTACAATTGAGGACGTGCTCCTTTTTCATTTTGTTCCTGTTGAGGTTGTTAACGTCCGTCCTGCCCATTGATTCAAAATTACCTGACAGCTACATCAGAACATGAACTTTCCTAGCGATTGCGTGAGAAATCAAAACATGTACATGTGCGGGACTGATATCTCTACGCTCACATCCGCTTCCGGATTATAGGGGAACCAGTCCTACAATTGTAGACTTGCTCCGGGCTCACACAATGAATAATGTACAGAGATCGCGATCTCGCAACATACACCTCAGATACATTATTTTAGTGGTACCAAAACATATGTTTGTCAATTTATCTGTTTTTTGTACAGTTCTCAAAATAACTTACGGGTGTCCCTGTTTCGGACAGCGCAATTTCTTGTGCAGTTTCTCTAAAATTGATTCACATTGTCATTGATGGACACTAATTACCAAACCACCAATACTAATGAACGGCCAATGTGGAAATGAAAATGAGAGATGGTCTCTTGACACTGTCCGAAGTATTCCAACGTTTAGGTCAATAGACCAGATTTGTAGAAATAAAATCCAACCACATAATGATCGTAAAGAATGTAAAAATAATATTTGACGTAGACAAAGTCGATTCATATTCGTGGCGAGAACAGGCAACCCACCACCAATTGACTGTCCGAACTAAAGATGATGATGATGATGATGATGATGATTTGGAGATTTTACGTGCGTTTGAAGATATATGCGTATTTCACACATGTCTGCACTACTATTTATGGGCCACAAATATATGTTTGTTTTATCGCTAAACTTTTGTTATCTGAGATGTTTGTTGCGAGATTGTATCACAACTTGTTTGTTCATAAAGGATAGAAAATATCGAATTAATTGATTGCATGTGGAGGTTGTTGACAGGCGCGTAGCAAGACAATGTTTCGTGTAAGCCCTATAGATTGCAAAGCTATATATTCAGATAGTATTGAGGGCTTGCCCAACCTTTCTAGCAACAATCATGTGTAAGCCCGGGCTTTTTTTTATAATGGCAGCTACGTCCCTGGTTGAAGCTATATTTTTGCAATATTTTTATCCATATTTCGTTCTGTGAATTTAATGTATTATATTCTATCCCAACAATAAGAAGGCTGCTCTTAATGCAGCACCTGAAATAATATACTTTTTAAGAAATTTGTTCGCTTAACACCGTACTCAGCATTACCACAGCTACATGACAATAATCTTTAAATAACAGAGCCTGGACCAGAAAATACAGTGATCAGTATTATGATGGCACTAAGCACCCAAGACAAGGAAGCTAACGGTGGAATCTAATTTGTTAGACTACATACACAGAAACCAGTGTGGCCAGTTAGGGGCTGACAGAAGAGCCTTAAACCCCTAGTGAAGAGCTCACAAATAAAGTCTTGGGGCAGTGGAGTAGCCTGGTGGTTAAGCGTCCGCTCGTCACGCCGAAGACCCCGGTTCGATTCCCCATATGGGAATTCTCCTAGGACCAAGTCATTCAAAGTACTCGCATATATACCAGAATAAAAGCAGAATATGACTTTCCTTTTTTAAGTGTGGCTTAACTTGTGTCGACAGTAGTCTGCGACTAAATGGATGAACCAATAAAATCATTAATTTTCTGAAGCAGCCAATCAACGTTCAACAAAAGGTGTAACCTCCCTAGGGACTTACAGAAATAATACTACCCCGTGTCTTCTTTCCCATATGGGTAATAAACTGCTGTTGACAGGTCTACTGAATGAATTCACACTGTCTCCAGTGTAGAGGGCCGATCTCTACGCCATGTATGTGCCTACTACTCTCTTTAAACAAAAATAGTCTTAAGGTAAACATGTGCTATATTACTACTAATATTGATGCATATTTTTTTTTAGTCAAAGAGTAGTAGGCACCTAAAACCGTTACAGTCCTGTCACTCATGGGCAGATAATATCTACACAGCTGAGGAGTAGTCAATGGGAGACTAATTGGTAACTATGGGAACCAAACGTTAACACTTCGGCTTTAATATGTTACAACCAATTCTAATTTAATGGTCAAACTTTTGTTGAAAGTGACTCACGGGTGAGAGGGTGTTTATAGTTAGTGTTCCCTGTGCATGTTACAAATTTTTACAAATTCCAAGGGGCCGTGGGGTAGCCGACTGGTTAAAGCGATCGCGCCTCACGTCGAAGACCCAGGTTCAGTTCCCCAATTGGGTACAATGCGTGAAGCCCATTTCTGGTGTCCCCCACCGTGATATTGCTGGAATATAGCTAAAAGCGGCGTAAAACCACACTCAGTCACTCTCTCGTATCATGTAAATTTTTCTGTCTAAGATTATTAACATGAAAATTGTGTATTGATATTCGTAATTTGCAGTCTCTTTATCACTCTAGGATGAAGTATTAAAAAGAGTTTGTTGGCATTTTGTCATTACTTTGTTTAAAATATTGCTAAAAGCGGCGTAAAACCATACGTTAATCTAATAACTGGGCATATTTTTATCACATTGCCTCCAGAATGTCTTAATCCTTTATCTTTTAACATCTACTGTGATATTTTTATAACACAATTTCAATGTACCTGCCCTAAATTAGACATATACATGGTACTATTTTCTGTTCATTTAATATAATCTAACCTAACTGTTTAATTAGTCCAATATGTTTGATCAAAATTCGAAAATGAATTCAATCATACAAAGGTGAGCGACAGACCCTCTTGGGATATTTTGTAATGAGTGAGTGAGTGAGTTACGCCGCACATAGCAATATTCCAACTATTTGGCGGCGGTCTGTAAATAATCGAGTCTAGACCAGACAATCCAGTGGTCAACGTCATGGGCATCGATCTACGCAATTGGGATATGATGGCATATGTCAACCAAGTCAGTAAGCCCGACCATGCACCCGATCCCGTTATTCGCTCTTACGACAAGCATGAGTTACTGAAGATCAATTCTAACCCGGATCTTGTATATGTTACACGTTCGTAGTACCACTCCACAACGTTAATTTAGTAACCGGGCGTATTTTTATGAACATTGCCTCCAGAATGTCTTAATCCTTTATCTTTTATACATTTATTCTGATATTTTTGCAACCCATTTTCAATGTACCTGCCCTAATGTTTACATAGACATATACATACTGTTTTCTGTTTATTTAATATAATCTACTCTGACTCTCTCTAAGTAGTCCAATATTTTTTTATCAAACTTCGAAAATGAATTCAATTTTATAAAGGTGAGCTACAGTCCCTCTTGTGAAAGTTTGTAAATAATGTTGCATTTAATTGTAAATATGCAACTTATTATTGTCAACTTGTCTTATTTTTGTAAACTAAATAAGGACCGATGACTTTGGTTTGATTAACCGAAATTCGTTAAACAACTAAGATGTAAGGCGAGTGACTGGGACCAACAAACCGTTCGTTATACCCAAAATTTCGCGATAAACGAGTTCGATTTTGCAAACGCAACTATATAACTACTGCTTTATTGATTTATGATGCTAACGCCACATCATAATAGAATTTAAAAAGTCCTCGTCCGGGGAAATATGATTTCATACATTTCAACCCCAATCGATGTAACCACGAAATTCAGTTAAACACATAATAGAATTAGAAAAGACGTTGCCTTTACTGTTAATAATCTGTCTACGGGGTCTCTGAAAATTGGGGCGAGTGACTGGTGTTTTATGTGCACCCTTTTTCCAAATCCTTGGTCAGTCTTGACAGGTCGGGAAGGTGCGTCATACCAAAAGCACTTTTAGGCGAGATTCGGTGGTTCATGCTTCACAAACAGCCTGGATTCTCAGTGGGCTAGGACTGTAAAACCAGCTTAAGTCTGATAGTACAAGCAGCCTTTTAGGCAGCAACGCTTTTAACGTCGTGCTGGAAGCAGATTATTTCATGTGACAAATTATGTTCACTCTTGTCATCGTATCCAACCCTGCAGGCAGTCGCAGACCTTGTGATAAAAAAGTAGATCGGACCCGCTCCGGGATAGAATTGGTCTTCAGCAACCCTTGTGGTAAGAGGCAACTAACGGGATGTTCGCTGACTTGGTTCACTCTTGTCATCGTATCCAAACTGCGTAGATCGATGCTCATGATGTTGATCACTGGCCCAGACTCGATTATTTACAGACCGAAGCCATACAGCTGGAATATAGCTGAGAACGGCGTTCAACAACGTAGCAAAGCAACTAACCTTCTCAGTATCGAAACGGGGCGGTAGCCCAACTTAAGGGTAGACCAAAAGCGTCCTGGTTCCGGGCTGACCCCCGCCGTGATATTGCTTAAATATTGCTAAAAGCGGCGTAAAATCATACTCACTCAGTCCGTATCGAATCAACTGACTGAGTTTGGTTTTACGCCGCTTTTAGCAATATTCCAGCAACATCAAGGCGGGGGACACCAGAAATGGGCTTCACACATTGTACCCATGTGGGGATTCGAACCCGGGTCTTCGGTGTGACGAGCCAACGCTTTAACCACTAGGCCACCCCACCGCCCCTGTATCGATTCAAGCATAGTGAATGAGTTAGTGAGTAAGTTGGGTTTTACAGGCTTTGAACAGTATATTCAGCGTGTTAACTTAATGCTGGAGGAAAGCGGTGTGATCTAGGTTATCATTTTAGTCAAACCCACGAGCACGTGCATGGTGATGAAAAACCAAAAACCATCAGGTCGAATCGTGATCTGAACCCTTGAGTATACGTTTCTTTTGCCATATAAGGGATGTACCTGCACAGCTACTTGCCTCGCCTCAGAGAATAAGGCCGACTTATTATTTTTCTTCCTTTGCCGCCTTGGTTGTTTGGTTGGTTGGTTGGTTGGTTGGTTATTCAACGCCACACTCAGCAATATTCCAGCTATATGGCGGCGGTCTGTAAATAATAGAGTCAGGACTAGACAATCCAGTGATCAATAACATGAGCAGCGATCTACGCAATTCGATGTGTCGACCAAGTCAGCCGGCCTGACCATCCAATCCCGTTAGTCGCCTCTTACGACAAGCATGGGTTACTGAAGACCAATTCTAACCCAGATCTGCACGGGACTTGCCGCCTCGGGACGATCTGGGGCAATATTCATAAGCAAGTAATCAGAATTGATCATCAGCTTGTAACAGGCTAAAAAGGATCAGGCGGTCAGGTTCTCTTGCATGGTAGGTAGATGTC